ATTTTGCTGGAAAAGAAGGAAGATCCACCTTCTGCTCTGGCTCTTTCTTCAAGTGAGCCACACCAACATTTTCTGCTTCCAGCTGGTAGGTCAAGGCCAGGACTTGGATGTCTGTGGCTGAAAGACTGGGGTAGTCACCCGTCTTCTTGGAAAACTCCGTCACTAGAAACAAAGGGAGGATTTCAGTGTTCAAGTCCAGAGGCAAAACTGGAAATCACAACTGGTCATGAGAAAAAGTGCTTCTCTAATTCCAGAGGGCACCAGGAAAACACATCTAAGAGCAAGTAACAATGAAGCAATTGTAGGTGATCAACTTGATTTCTACTCCTGACCGTGTGTGTGCGTGTGTGTGTGTATCACATGTTAGTTGGGGTTATAGTCAACAAACCCCCACCCAGAGTAGATAAATTGAAATTAATGAAAGTAAGTCATGTCCATTAATCTCGATGGGTCTACCCTGAGTAGGACTAGAATTGAATAGCACCCTTTGCTCTCCAGTCAAGAGCTCAAAGTTACTTACAAAAAGAAAAAGGCAAGTCACGGAAGAGGGGATGGGGTGGGAGAGGGGCAGGAAGCATAGACCACGAAGCAGAGGCTACTCACCAAGCCTTACATATTCAGGAAAAGGCTGCTTGAAGTGGAGCTCATAGGGCAGCACTGCCAACCGCCTGCGGGTCTCCTTGTCTCGGATCTCAGTCACCACCTCTCGGATTGTGTAGATGTTCTTGCCAATGTCCTGCCAGTGGGAAAGACACAGCTGAGAGCTGTTGCAAGTGGGTCAGGAACCTGAGGGCTGAAAGGGGGCTGGGCCGGGGGTGTGTGCAATTAGGTTAGGGAAGAGAGAGGCAGACCTATAGCCACACCTCTCCGGACCTACTACTCACACTGGTTCTGGGATGCCCACATACCGAGAAGCATAACAGGGCCACCTGCAACAAGGGAGGGGACACCAGGAGTCCCATGCAACATTCTGAGGAGCCACCTTGGCTTGGTAGACGGGTGTGTGTGTGTCCCCAACCGCCTGAAGCTGTCAAGGGATAGGGAACAATCTCCAGGCCCACAACCCCAACCTGCCATGCGCCCTAAGGAGAGTCTCTGTCTAGGCAGCTTTCTCTCTCTACTCGGGATGGCCTAATAAAAGTCTCCAGGTCCAACAAAAATCTACCGCAAAGTAAAGCATACACTTGGGCCTGTGGTCCTTTGTCGCGGGGTTCCCCAGTGGGCCACTGGCCAAGCTAGGCAGCCGTTCTCCGCCTTTTCCCACTGTACCTGAAGCGGGGCTCCACGCAGGAAAGCTCCAGCATCAGCCACGACGTGCTCCACGGGAGCCATTTTGCCCCACTTTAGACTGTGACTGCCAGGGCACTCTGGGAAGTGTAGTCTTTCCCCCCGCTCTCCATTGTGGAGCATGCTGGGAACTGTGGGCCTCACACAGGATGGTTCGCGGGAGAAAGGCATGCTGGGAGCTGTAGTTCCCCTCTAAAACCGTCCTTTCTTCCTAGACTTAAAAAAGAATAGACAGAGCATTGCATTGTTTGAAGGCGGGGCTTTTAATCTAATACTTTTGATGCCGCCCACCCGCCTCCAAAGAATCCCGGGGAAATAAACTTCCACTTCCAGTCCGACAAGACCTCATAACTTGGAAAGGGAACACGCGATTTCCACTCCTGCCTCATCCCGACAACCGGAAGTCGGAGCCCCTGCAGCCACCGCTTCCTCCGCCATTCCGCTCTAGCCGTCCCGGCTCCGTAGCCTCCCTTTCCACTTCCGAAGTATATGTCACGTGACGTGTCACTTGTCACATGACCCATGACTACAGGAGGTGGAAGTGGGAAGAAGCTGGGAACCGTCGCCGGTAAGTCTGGAGATTTGAGGGTGGGAAGCGGGGGTTCTGGCCGCTGCTGTGATTGACACATACGGATACCGACACCCGCTTGCTTGCTTGCCTGGCTTCCTTCTCTCCAACATTTTGAAAATCAGCGGGCAGCTTTAAAAAACAAAACACTCCTGAGTTTCTCTTTTTAAAAACAAACAAACATTCGTTTGTTTGTTTATTTATTTTTAGGGGTTGTTAGTTCCATCCCGCTTTTCAGGTTATAACAGCAACAACAACCCCCGCCCCGCGAAGCTACAGGAAAGGCGAAGGTGGCAAATGAAGGGATGAAGAAGCCAAAACCTTTAGAAACGGAAGGCCTGAGCAAACCCCAAATATTTTTGCTGTATGTGTGTGTATATAATGTCGACAGGCTTGGAAACCGCAGGCACCCTGGGTCTCCAGCCCCACTGCCTGCCTGCCTGCCTGCCTTGTCCCTTGAAAGCTTTAAAGAGGGCAAGGGCTGTCTCTCTGAGTACCTCAGCAGCTGAGCTCTTCTGTTCAGAAGGTGCCCTTAAGATACGTACTTTCTATGAGGCGGACTGTTCTATGGTGAAGAGGGCCTCAGGCCCTTTAAGGCAGGCTACGTTAGCCTACTGCCTGCCCTTCAGCAGTTTTGGACTACAACTCTCATCATCCTTAGCCAGTACGGTTGTAGTCCAAAACAACTGGAGTATACTAGGTTGGTAAGAGCAGTGTTCAAAACTTCCATTGTTCTAGGCGCATTTTGTGACAGGGAATTTCATTAGTGTGAGCAGTTTCTGAGCTCTAGGCACAGTACTGCACCTAAGATTTCAGATTAAAACTGTGGAGTGGAAGGAAAGAAGGACCTTTTTCTGCCTCCCCACTTCCAGCTACTCTCTGAAGACTGGAGAAGAGACCCTCATAAGAATAGGGGGGGGGAGGTGTGAGCATAATGAACATAATATTTTAGCTGCAGTTTGTTCATTTTCAGCTTTGTATTGTTATTTTAAAAGTGTGCTGTTGTTGCACCCACAACCTAGGTTTAAGATGCCATTTAGCTCCTAGCTTCTCAGTTTCTAACACTGGGTAAGAGTTGCTTTCATATGACTATGGACATCTGGTCTTATTTTTTGGCAGTCACTGTAGAGTTTTCCCCAGAGAGCTGGGCTGCCATTAACCTACTCAGCTGTGGGACAAATTGCTATGTTTTGTGCCAGTGGAAGTGTCCGGACAGTCTATATGGGGTGTGCTATTCAGTTGTGTTGCTCTACAGTGTCTTGCTGTAGGATGAGGCTGCATCAAGGTGCCCTTCCTCCTTTTCTGAGGTACCCACAGAATAGCCTTTGGCTTTACTGGGGGCACCATGACGTTCCTTGGACACATGCAAAGGAGGTTCATCCACTTATTTGCTTTGCTCAGATTATAGGGAAGTTTGTATTGCTTCTTTTATTGCATTGCTTAATGTTTGGGATTCAGCTTTTCTGTTGGAACTGCTGTTTATGTGCTCACTATACATAAGCGCAAGGATTGAGACAGGTTTGCTTCTTGAATTGGCTGATTGCTGCAGCTACTTGTAAAGATATACTGTAGCCTGAGTGATACTGTTTAAACAAAGGGGTGTGTGTGCAAATGAATTGTGTAGATTCTTCCTGGTTGTGGCAAGGACTGCTGTGGGAAACATAGGGACTCTTTAAAGGAGCTCCAGAGAGTTCTACAGAGAAATATGGGAGTAAAATCCTATTTCACAAAGGAGAGAGGACAGCTCTCTCTGTCATGCAGATAACAGCTGATGTAGACATGTCATGAGGCATGTTGAGTGATTTTTGCCACTGCCTCTTGCATTGCTGTGTGTGAACTATTGGACTTCTTGTTTGCATCTTGCTCATTTTGTTGAAAGGAACTACCAACATTGTTGTTCTCTGGGTACACTAGAACTGTACCCATATGTGGGATTGATCTAACACCATCCACCTATAATTTACCTTATGTTCTGTTTAACTCAATTTTTGGCTCATTCTCGATGCACCTGAGACCATGGAGGGAATGAAGTGAATTGGTATGTGTGTCACCTATCACCTTCACAAAGTGCTGGGTTTGAAGGAGTACGGTAATAAATATGCAATGATTGAATGTGTTAATGATTAGCTGACTTGGTTTGGTTCCTCCTGAGCAGCTTGCATGGTTGCTAGACTCACACTCTGTTGTGAACCAACTCTGTCTTCCTGCTCTTGGAGGTCTGTAGCTAGTGCAAATCAACAAACTCACTCTTCTGTGAGGGATAGAAAGTGAGCGAGGAAACTCATTCAGGAGGGGGTGTTCCTGCTTCTTCTTCTAACCTTACCTGCCCACTTGTCATCCAGAGACTTAAAATACAAAACTTTTTATGATCCAGAAGCTCAAGCATGAAGAAGTTCCTCCTCTTTGCTGAATGAAAAGCTCCCGTAGAGCTGCTGCTGCTCTTCATCAGAGCTTGCTGTGTGCAAACAAATGCTGGCAGTCCTTAACTGAGCTGTTCTGCACCCACTTCCTCTTTGTGTCTGTGCTCTGAAGCTCTCTTCTTCCTTCTGCCTTTGCTGTCTTACTCAGTGAGGGGAATTTCCCACACTACCTCCTGGGGCCTGGTTTTTCCGGAACTGTTGCTGGATTGGGGCTTCTGATGGTTCTCTTCAAGGAGCTCTATCTGTTCCAGGATTCAGAACTCAACAACTGGAAAAGTTCTAAGTTTGGAGGGTTCAGTTATCTGCATGGCTGTTGACAGCAAGGTATTTCCTGTCCTGAGCCAAAGAGGCAAACTTAGAGAAACAGCAGGAAGCATGAGTAGCCAAACTCCTAGCATCCCACTCCATCAGGCTATGCTAGCTGTGGCCATGGGTGTAGCCAAGGAGGGGCAGGGGGGCAACTGCCCCCCAATCAATACAAATCAATACGAATCTGAGGTTCTGTCCCCGCTAACAAAAGCCTGCCCTCCCTAACAAAAACCCTGGCTATGCCCATGTCTGTGACTGATGGAAGCTGGAGCCCATAAACCAGGTTTCCTCCCATTCTCTAGTGCTGGTGCTCCCAGCTCTGTGTCCAGTACCAGAACTTGGAGGAGGCTTGCCCCGACTTTTTAGACAATGTGTCACCTGTTGCTCTCTCGCTTTCATAGGCATCCAGCGATGAAATGGCTTCTGTGGGGTTGCCTGGAGAGAAATCTCCACTTACTGTGAAAGGTGAGTCCTCTTGTCCAGGAGCAACTCTGTGGAGTTTGGCAGCAATAAGGAGGTATTTGTTGTTTCTGGTCTGCCCCTCTGTCAGCTCTGGATGTCCTTTCTCCTTGGCTAGCCTGTGAAATTCCCATCAGCTGCAAGGATTTTTTGTGTAAGCGTAGCTGCACCGTGGGGTTGTGTTCAGTTAATTTACAAATCTCTTTCCATGAAGCATCTTGAAAGAATTTCATAACACATTAAAAACATATAAAAACAATCACACATATTAAAAAACAATTTCAGATCCATTACAGATACTGATTGGTTATCAACCAAGTTCGGATCGGTATATTAAGAAGCTTATAGAACCCACAAAACAAGTGAGATTCTTCCTATGAGCCGAACAAACATTTATATTGCTTTATGGGTTTTGAGCTATATGGGCTCACAAATAATTACTGTATTTTTCGCACCATAGGACGCACCGGACAATAGGACGCACCTTGTTTTAGAGAGGGGAGAGCAAGAAAAAAAAACTCTCCCCCTCTCTGCCCAGCGCCCCTTCCCGCTCTAAAACAAGGCGGCTACCTTGGAGGCCTGGAGAGCGAGAGGGGCGGTGCGCACCACCAGCCCCAAAGAGCAGGTCAGGGAGCAGCGGAAAGGCGCAGCGGAGAAGCTGCTGCCATAGTCGCACGTCACCTCTCCAGCCGGGAGAGGGTCGCGGGGGCTTCTTTATTTTTGAAGGGAAAAAAGTGTGTCCTATAGAGCGAAAAATACGGTACGTTGAGCAAAAGCTTGAAAAAATAACAGTAGGGAGCAGATCAGTCTGGATGAGAACATTTCATGTATCCCAGGAGGTGCTAAATATTCTCTAAAATGAAGAGGAGGCTAGTTTACATTGAGGTGGGTAACTTGTGGCCCTTCAGAGGTTGTTGGGTTCTCATTTCCCTCAGCACCAGCCAGTATGGTCAGTAGTCAGGGATGGTGGGAGTTGTCATCAGAAGGGCAACAGATTCCACCCCCCCTTACACTGCTTTTATTTTAAGCAGCTGCCAGTGAAGAAGAGCTCCATTTAACATGAAAGCACTGCAGCCAGCATTTGGGTGGTCCCATGATAGTTCCTCGACTTGTTTGCTGTGGTCTTTCAGTCATTCCCAGTCATTCCCACTTGTGCTGTCCCCAGCATAGGGATGACTTCTTTTTTTTAGCATGACCCAGAATTTCCTTGCCTGCGAGAAAACCCCTGCCGACAGGATGACTGTGTGACCTTCTGATCTTTTCCCTACAGCTTGCCAAGATGGCCTGAACTTCAGCAGTCCCCACTCCTAACTACTGTCAGTTCAGGGTGGGGAACAAATGGGTTCTCCCATCAGTATTTGTTTGTGTGTGTGTGTTTGTACACACACAGACACATGCATTTACATGCAAGGGTGGGTGTGGGAAGAGAAACAGCTTCCCTACCGTCTAGTCATAACAGCAACGGACTTTTACCTGCTGATCCTGCAAACTTTGGATCCAGGCCAGAGAGGCATGGCTGTGGTAGGGTTACTTACTGGGTCCTTCCGCACCCTGAGAGCCATCACTGCAGGCCATGCCATCTCACTGCAGAACTCAACTAACTACAACTGCTTAAATTCATTCTACAAGGAGGAAGGCTGGAAGTTGCTTTATACTGAGTCCATATAGATTAATATTGTCCACACTGAGTGGCAGCAGCTCTCCCGGGTTTCAGGCAAGGGTATCTCCCAACTCTACTGATATGTGAGTGTTTAATTCTTCACATTGCCCTCTAGTCTCAAGGGTTAAAAAAGAGACCCACAAGCTTTTCTCTTGTCCTCTGGCCTGTTGTGACAGCAATGTGCCATTAAGTCATTGCTCATAAGGACTGAGAGGCAACTCTCCCCTTTCTACCCCCCCCCCGACTTGTTTTTCTGGCTAGCTGGTGCCCCCCCCCCGCATGAATGCTTTGCTTGCACCTCAAGCAGCTGCAGGGGGGGAGTGTATGATGGGGCCAGACGGCAGCCTCTTGTGGGTGTTGGGTCCGGCCAGCTGCACACACTGTGCCACCAGGGGGCTCCCAACACTGGCAGTTACAGGAGTGTTTCTGCACAGGCTGCAGCTGCTCTGCCTTCCTCTCGTGGCTGAAATGTCAGCCCCTGGGTCTGTAGTCGGCACTCGTCAGCCTTGGCACTCTCCAGCTAGGGCTAGGCTCTGGGTCTCAAGTAAGAGACCCTCTGGAATGCCAAGGGGGCACTCTCACCTCCTTGTCCAGTGCAAGCTCCCAAGGTGGGGAGGGAGGAGAGTGGCTGTTTGAACCAAGCGTAGCCAAAGTGGTGTTGTTTCGCTCCAGCTCTGGTCACCCCCAGCAGCCACCGCAGCCAGTGGTCAGGCATGATGGGAGTTGGAGTCCAGCAATATCTGGAGGGCACCACATTGAGCTGCTCGTATTCTAACCTTTGTTTGGATAGGAAGGGACTTCTATCACCCTATGAGCCAGTAGGTTTGCTTCCCAGGGTTCTTTGTGGGAATCCAGGGCTCTTCATCTATTTTCAAGTGAGGTTTCAATGTAGGCCATAGATATGCCCTTTGCCCTGCTTGTTCCTTTGGCAGTCTTGTGCTTGCATAAAGGGTGGAACCAGCAATGGAGCCTCCTGTGTAAAGTGGAGGGGTTACAAGGGCACAGTTGGGTGGCATTGTCACTCTCCCTGGCACGCAAGTAGATTTGGCTACCCCAAAATCCCTACCAGGCTAGCCTGGGGCAGGCGCCACCCACCACTCCAGCTGTGGAGCAGCTACTGAACATCCTCCACTTCCTCCCTCCAGTGGTGTCAGCAAAGCCCAAGGCACAGGGGCGCCAGGCTCGGATCACCTGCTTCGTGGAGGTGACGGCGGATGGGCTCACCAGCGAGACCAAGAAGACAGCAAAGCGGATCGGGAGCTCAGAGCTGCTCTGGAACGAGAATCTTGTGCTGTAAGAATTTGGGGCTCTAGGGAATTGGGGTGTGTGTGTGAAACTGAGCTGGGGCAGCACTGGCTTTGCCCAGGTGGGTCTGCTCTTGCCCCAAGGGCTTGCCCAGGCTAGCAGCTGTGTAGGAGCAAAAGTGGTGGGATGGGCCTTAGGCTCTGTGGCCGCGGCAGCTGCTCTTTCCATGGTGAAGCAGGAGCCCTTGCATGTTATCAGCTGTGTTTCCAAACACAGCCCTTGGCTTTCCCTGGCTTGTCATCTTAAGCCTGTTTGCCGAAATGACTAGGCCTCTCACTAGGGCCTGGGATGACCTAGTTTGCTCTTCTTATGTTTAGGAAGCCTAATGATGGGTTGAGAGCACTCACATTCTTTTCATTTATTTCTGCAGAGCCCCCTTTTCACCTTTTAATGTTTAGTTTTGTCCCCAAATTGGCTTTTACTGAACGTCACTCATGCTTGGCACAAGGCAAACGTGATCCCACCGCCTCACCAACCTGTCTTCTTTTGCACCCTCTTCCTCTTCCAACCCTGCTGCAGGAATGTCACCTCACAAAGCCACCTTGACGTGAAACTCTGGAGCTACCACACCCTGCGGAACGAGTTGCTGGGCACAGCCTCCATCAGTCTCCCCAGTGCACTGAAGCAGAGCAAAGGGAAAGGTATGTCCCATGGTAGAGACTCTCCACAGCTCCCTCCGCTGGCCTGTCCTCCTGTTTGGGCATCATCAGGTTTTCTGCGCCCTCTGGCAGGGGGAAATAAGGCATACCTGGTGGTGGAAATGCTCTGGCCTTGGCAGAAGACAAGGCCTCATTGTGAGCGGCTGGGAGGCCTGTCAGGCGCACAGGGCTGCTGCTGCTGGTGTGTCTGATGGAGGCCACCCCTTCACCAGCCAGGAAAGCAGAGCAGCCCGCCCAGCAACACGAGGCCCTTGGCTGTCTGCTGCCATTTGTGGTTGCTGGAGTGGCCCATGGCGGCAGCCGCCGCCGCTGCTGCTACATAAAGGCCTCTATTCAGGGGGCTCCCGGCAGGGAAAGGCTCTCTCCATCTCCTTCAGCCCAAACTGCTCCCCTGCCCCCACCATGGCCCCCGCCTCACAGAATACAGACCTCGTATTGAGAGGTGCCGGGCCTGGAGATAGCAGATGGAGGTGGGGGCAATGTCAGAGCAACAGCCAGCTACTTTTCTGGGGCAGTCTCTTCTCCCTGGGCTTAGGCCTGGTGGCCTGGTCCACTAGCTTTGAGATGTCTGGGCCTTGGTGAGCAGGCTTTGACTGGAGGTGAGTGGAGAGAGACCCCCTGCTCTGGGTCAAGAAAATGAGCGAAGGCTTACCTGCACCTTCCCTTGCAGTGGCAGAGCTCCTTGCCGCACTGGTGCCTCAGAGCAAAAGGTGGCAAGGGCTTCATGGTTGCTGGAAGTGGCTTTTGTGTGTGTGGGGGGGTTAACTCTGGGGCTGCCCTTTTGGGGCCTTGTGGTGTGGTTGGAGGGCGAGTGTTTGAGATCCTGCCTGGCGGGCCTGAGTCGCCCTCCCGCCCTCTCCTCACCCACCTGAGCTGCTCCTCTTCCTCCTTGTGTGCCGGACACAATGCTCCTTTCATGAGGCAAGGCGTAGTTTTGGGCGGCAAATGGAAAAGGCTCCGCTCGGTACCAAAAAGGATGGAATTTTCCCTGGCACTGGCTGCGAGGGGAGGCTTCTTAAAGCGACAGCACAGCCACTGCCGGGGAGTGTCAGAAGATCAGGCTTTCTTTCTCCCTGTGGCTCTGAGGCAAGGGCTGTTCGCTGTGGCTGTTTTCCTGTATGAATTGCATAAGAACATAGGAAATGCTCTGCAGGATCAGGCCAGTGGCCCATCTAGTCCAGCATCCTGTTCTCGCAGTGGGCGACCAGATGCCTGTGGGAAACCTGAGCAAAAGAGCACTCTCCTCTCCTGTGGTTTCCAGCAGCTGATATTCAGAAGTTACTGCCTCTGATGGTGAAGGCAGAACATAGTCATTATGGCTAAGAGCTGTTGATAGCCTTGTCCCCCATGGATTTGTGTAACTTTCTTTTAAAGCCACCTGAGTTGTCGGCCATCACTGCCTCTTGTGGGAGTGAGTTCCATAGTTTAAAGATGTGCTGTGCGAAGGAGTAGTGTCTTTTTCTGTCCTGAATCTTCATTCCACTTCATTAGATGTGCTCGATTTCAAGTGCTATGAAAGAGGGACTTCTCTGTCCACTTTCTCCGTGCCATGCATAACTCCATTTTCTTCTACCATCCCTTTCTTGCCTTTTCTCTAAACCAAAAAGTCCCAAACGTTGTAACCTTTCCCCATAGGGCTGTTGCTCCATCCCTTGGATCGTTTTGCCTTTTCCAACTCCACCATATCTTTCTTGAGAGGAAGTGACTCCAGGTAGAGCAGATTGACAGCTGGCACTGAGAATGGCCGCTCTCACTCCTCCTTGCCGTGGGTGTGGGTGTGGGTGTCTGCTCCCCGTCAGCCTTCCATTGAGCAAGTACCCAAAGACAACGCCCTCCCTTCCTCTATGTGCTGGGCAGGAGAGAAAGGGCAGCTGATCTAAAGAGTGGGGGGGGGATCCTATTGGTTTAATTTCTATCCTGCCTCATTGCTAGGGCTCTGCACCCATTTCAGGATATGAAATGCACAGCTAATGAGAAAGCAATACCCTGAGACCTCTGCAAAACCACCTACAATGGCCACCTGGTTCTACCAACAGGCATCTCAGATCCAAATGCCTTTCTCTGTGATGCTCTGGCTGGGGGTGGATACGGTCTTGAAGGCACAGGATGAGAGATTCATGTGGCTCATCTCTCAGGCACTGAGGACTGGTGGCTTGTGTGTCCTCCCTTCTTCTGAGGAGCTGAGAGTGGAGGCTTCCTCCCTGTGAAGTAGCATCATTGAGAGGCCTACCTGAGGCTGCCCAATGAGCCTCAGGGCTGAAGAATGATTTGAACTGGCCTTGCTGGGCTTCACTGGGAGAGGAGGAAGCCGCAGCTCCTTCCTGGCACTTTGCCAGCTGCCTTTAGGCCTCCTGGAGCAGATGGATGGGCACATCTGAAGTTTTCTTGGGATCTCCAGCTGGGTCAGCAACCTTTGTGTGCCCTGAAGATCCCTGCATGTTCCTTGAGCATCTTCTGTCCTTGGCCCATGGGTGGGCTCTGTTTGCTGACCAGAATGGCAGTGTTGGGGTGGGGAGTTCTTCCCAGCCTAGCTGTGCTCCTTGGACATCTGCTGCAGAAGCGCTCTGCCAGAACCAACGTTTTGGCCAGGCAGCCCCAGCAGAGCTCCAGTAGGAGAGGCTGTTTGGGGAGATGGAGGGTGGGGTGCAAATTAGTTCAGTAAGAGCCAGCCGGCTACTGCCTTGGCGGCAGCAGCTCCCAAGTCCCTCATCGGATGCATCGATTGCAGCTCCAGATTCCCACCCACCCGCAAGGGACGCTTTGTTCTCAAGCCTGTTCTGGGCACAGGTTTACAACCCCCCCCCAACCTGGAGGCTGATCCCATTTCTACTGTGTGAGTGCAGCAGCTTCCTTCGTATGTCCTCTCGCCTGCCAGCCAGGCAGGGAATGGGGCCTTCCGCCAAGGCTCTTGAAGCAGCCAGCATCTGAATCAAGGCCGGACCCAGAGCAGGGGGTGTGGCTCAGAAGAAATCTCTGTGTGTAAAAACAAATCCTCATGTGGCTGCACCAATTGAGTGTGAAAACAAGGGGCCTGGAGCCTTTCGGGCTGCAGTGTGCAAACAACACCTCCCCCCCGCCCCTACAATCACCACCCTTGTTCTCAGGTTGCATCAAGAGGTTCTTGTTTAGGGAGCCCCCCCTTCTCCCCCCCCAATGCTTTTACAGCTCCTGCAAAGGTCTGTGACTTTGCTTCTCATTCTGCCTGGCCCCAGGCAGGGATGCTGGAGCTGCAGCCACAAAGAAGTCATTCAGAAGGAAGCCAGTCCTGATTTCTGCTCCCTGCTCCACACAAAGTAGTAGCAGGATCCAAGGAGGAAGTTTTAAGGCTGGATGGATGGATGGGCTCCTCGTTGGAAAGCCAACCTCAAAGATGGCTTCACTGAACTGTGGCCAGGCTGATGCTGGGAAAGAGTTGTGTGGGCAACCATGTTTTGGGGTCCCACGTCCTGTTTTGCCCCTTCCTCTGGCTATCCCTGTAATAGTAGTGCCTCTCCTTGCAAGCCAGCTGGCAAAGCTTGTTCTGCTGGGTGTACAAGGCTTCTTCCAGAAAGGTGCCTTGCATCTCTGCAATTGTCCTCTTTAAACCCTCGAGCGTCCTTGACTAGCCTGGAGGGCTCTTTCCCCTTCCCTACCAGAACTCCCTCCCAACCTTCTATTCTTGTTGACAGACGGCTAGCATGTAGGCTAAATGAAGCTACTGCTTGATGGATTTGTACCCAGTAGGGGCATATGGAAGGTCCCAGGTGTCTACAGCACCCTAGAGAACCATGGCCAATCAGTGTAGACAATCCTGAACACCACAAACCAACTTTCTCTGCTCTCTTTCCCTCATCAGACAGCTTTCTCTGACCCTATTTCTCCCTATGTGTTCCTGTGTACCCAACCAGAGAGCACTCCCCTCATTGGCTAGAGTGGTGCTTTTCCCTCGGCGACTGCTGTACTGTAGGGAGCCACTGGCTGAAAGGCTCTGCCAGAGAAAAAAGGGGCCTCCCCTTCTTCCTTTCTAGGAAAAAGAGGCAGGAACTCTGGGATCGCATCCCTTGCTTTTGCTTGGAAAGCTCTTATACCCCAAGCCTGTGCAAACTGACATGGATTGCCTTGGCCAGAGAGCCTTTGGCCTTTGTTCGATTGGCCACCATCTTGATTTGATTTATTATAGTTCTGTGCCACTTTTCATTCAAATGAATCCCAAAGTGGCTTACAAACAATAAGTAATTAGAACATGATAGAACATATTAAACATCACAAATACAGGCCGCTTCTGTTCCCTGAGGGCTCCCTGCTCCTGGTGCCCAGAAGGTGGAGGCGGACCTCTCTCCTTCCTTTCCCCTCTGCATCGCTTCTCATCCATGTTAAGCCTTGGGCTGCCTTCCTCTTTGCTGTCTTGTTCACATCGCTCCAGGCATGTCCACCCTGGGGCACTGGGGAGCCTGTCCAGCAGCTGGAACTTCCTTCCTTTTTCCTTCCCTTCCTTGCTCCTGCTCCTGTTGGCCTGGCTGCTGGAAAGCGCAGGTCCTTCTCATGTCCTGGCTAGGAATTCCCTGCCAAATGGGAGCGCTGAGGCTCCAAGCGGTGCAGCGGAGGTAGTGAACTGAGGAGGCCTTATGTAAGGCTGGGGCGGCCCCTTCCCCCAAATGATAACAGCCCGTCCCCCCTGCACACAAGCTGGCTTTGTGTGCGGCCGCAGAGGGACCCTCGGCTGCTGCAACAGCAAGGTCCCTTTATGTGTGCCTGGGCCATGGGCCGTGGTGGAGGGGCCCGTGCGTGTTTATTTTCTTAAAGAAAGCAGAGGGAGGGGAAAGTGGTGTTCGCTGCCCTGCCTGGAGACACAGGCACCTTGTCTCTGCCAGGGGACAAAAGGGCTCTGTGCAGCCTGCAGCAGGAGCAGAGGGCTGCCAAGGTGGGGCAGTGGGGAGAGAAAGGGGCAAGGACAGGCTCCCTGCATCACCAAAGGCATGCTGGTGGCCCCTTGGCTGGGCCTGGCTCCTTGCAGCTCTTCCCAAGGGGAGATGGAAGGCCAAACCCTCCTGCTCCTCTGGCTCAAAAACTCCCCCTCCCTGACTCTGCTGTGCTGCACTTCACACACCAGGAGCTGCCGCCACCACTGCGGACAGAGAGGCTGGAGTCCCGTGTGCAGCTGGTGAAAGGGCGGCCCCCAGGCAGCTCAGGTGTGAACTTTGGGGGCCTGCCCAAGGCTCCTGCCCCTCTCTCTCCAGGGGATGAACATCAGTTGCTCTTTGTCTTCCTGCCCTGGGTGCTGGGGAGGAGGAATTCCTTCTCCCATAGAGGGGCCCAGGTCACCTTGATGCCAGCCTCCTCTCGGGGCACTTGTGCTCCTCACCTTCCTTTTCAGCCAGCACAAGGAGACTGAGGGTCTGAGGGCAGATTTGGGCCTAAGAAATGTGCTGGGGAGTAAGCGCAGCTGCAGCAGCAGCAGCAGCAGGAAAAGTGTTGGGCCTGAAGTGGGCGGCCCTGAGCCTGACTGTTCTGCTGAGCATCTTCTGGGCAGAGCAGGGATGTAGGTTCAGCTCCCTCATGTTGGAAAGCCTTTAATGTCACAGAGGAGAGTTCCCTGTGCTGCTCCCTGGTTACAGAGATGGACCTGTCATCCGAGGTGGGGAGCAAGGTACCCAGCATATGCTCCTGCCCTCCCCGGCCCCCAACATTACAGTTCCCTCTGCTGAGGGGCTAAGCTCCAACTCTGCCACTGGAGGGATGGTGTGATTAAAGTGTTGGGGTGAGGCTAGCTAGGGCTGGAGTGCTAGGGAGGTCTAGGGAACGAGGCTGCCCGACTGCCCCCACTTGCTTGTGGGCCTGTGTCCACCAGGGCCACTCTCCCGGTGTAATGGCTTTCCCCCCTCTTGTCACTCTCTGTACCTCACAGCGGAAAACAAGCAGCTGACCTTGAACCTGCAGATGGAGAACAAAGGCTGCCTTGTCTCTGGTGGGGAGCTGACCATTTTCCTGGATGGACCCAGTATTGATGTGGGAAGCTTGCCTAACGGCAACATCGTGACGGAGGGTGAGTGTGGCAGGGTGGGGTGGGGGAGCCGCCTGCCACTAGGGCCCTGGGCAGCCAGCGGGGCCTTTGATGGAGGTATGTCCTGTGAAAGACGGGAGCTGAGGCAGATGGGTTCAAGCTGAAGGGGGGGTGGGGCAGGCGGGTCTGAGTCAAACCTTCCCTGTACTCTAATCCCAGCCATGTGTGGTCTGGTGGCAGGGAAGGGGAATCACTCTGTAGATGTGCAGAGGCAGTATTTACAGCATCATCTCAGGTCCTTGAGCCCAGCTTAGAGAATGGGAGCAGGTTCCAAACTCTCAGACTCCAAACTGAGCCCCAGAGCAAATGTTGCTCTTCAGACCTTTAGTACCTGAGTTGTCCTGAGCAGAATGGAGAGGAGCTCTTGTGTCCAGGGAAGTGAACCTCATCTGGCAGGCATTCAAAATGTTAACAGGCCCTCCCATCCCAGGGAGGCCACCTCTCTTCCGTCCCAAGGTGCTGGTCTGTCTCTTCCTGCTGCCCCCCACCCCCGGAAGGGACCCGGGTCTCCTTCTCCTCACCCATCCTAGCTGAGTCTTTCCTGAAAGTGAGAGGAACTGCATTTGATGGGATGAGAGAGAAGTTGAGAGATTAAACCCAAAGATGCCACAACACCACTGGGCAAAGCTGTGTTGTGGATGTTGCCCACCAGCCTCTGCTATAGTTGCTGAATCTTCAGAGGTGGCAGGAGAGCTCAGCTCTCCAGTGGCCCCTGGGATCATCCAGCTTCATGTTTCTATGAGGACTCCCATGTTTCAACTGTCATAATAATCTGTATCATTTGCTATGGTTTGCACCCCTCCCCTCCACCTCAGTTCCAGATTACAGCTGCTTGTATATATACAAAGGCAGGCTTAGAACAAGCAGCTGCCTCCATCCTTGTCCAGCCATCCCTCCCCTTTCCCCACAGCTGACTGGCTGTTGCCAGGGCTTGGCTTTTGGCCTGCCTGCCAGGGTCCTATTCTGACCAGTTCTTTGCTTCCTTGTTCCTTCAGGGTCCCAGGCAGCTGGGAGAGACCCCTGTGGTCTGGCCTCGTCCCCAGAGAGCAGGCACCAGGCCCCCAGCACCAACTGCTTTGGCGGCAGGTCCAGGTAAGGGTTCCCCTCTGCTCTGCCGTGGTATTTTGGATGGCTGCAGGTGGCCACTCTGGAGCCTCTGATGGTCAGCACACAGGGCAGGGTAAGCCATGATGGAAAGAGACAAAGAAGAGGACAGGGAGATTGGGAGGTTGGCCAGGACAGAGGCAGGAAAGAGGCCAGAAAGGCCTGGGTGGGCAGGGGGAGTCTGGGAACTGCCTTGCAAGGTTTTGAGGAGTCAGGCTGGGCCATGTGCATGTGGGTCAGAGTTGGGAAGACCAGGTAAGGGCTACTGCATCCCTCTGTGGCAAGAGGAGCATTTGGTAGCAGGGGAATTGCAGCTCCAGGACACGGTTGGTAGTGGGCTACATTTGGTACCCTTGCTCTCTTGCTCTAGCACCACCCATTATCTGGTGTGTGGAAAGTCCAGGCAATCATTGAGGGGTACTTTGGCTTTAGAGCAAAGTCCCCTGGAGACTGATAGTTCTCCTTCTCCTTCCAATCAGAGCCTGCTGACCCTGGCAAAAAATGCTTGCTCTGAGCAGCTGCCCAGAAAGCAGGGCAAGGGGCTTGCCAAGGGGGCTCTGCTTGGCCCTTCCTTCTACTCTCTGGCCACAGCTGTGTTGTGTTTGTGTACTGTTGCCGGTGTGGTGCTGAATTTAGCACCTCACTGGCAAGGGAACCATACTGCTTCTCCCGAGATGATGGGTGGCCAGCCAACCTACCAGCTTCCTTCATCAAGTTCCATTCTTCCCTGCATTGTAGCACTCAGCCCCGTATCCAGGGAGGACTCTTCCTCAGTGTCCTTTTTCCTCTGGCTGCTTCCTTGTGCCTTCCTGGTTCTGTTTGTGCAGGGCCCCCAGAAGCCCCCGAATCCTCCACCAAAAGAAGTTTGATTCCCCTGAATAAAACATATTGGGTTCTGCAGCTGGGAAGAGCTTTCAGGGAGTTGAACTTCTGGCCCTCACCAAGCTCCTGGAACGGTCCTTCCAAACAGACACAGGCATCTTCTGCAGCCTTCATGTGGATCTGCTCAGAAGAACTTCCTCAGAAGAGCCTGGCTGGTGGATCACCGAGTCCAGCATTCTGGGTTCCACAGCGGCCAACCAGCTGCCCCGCTGGGAAACCAACAAGCTGGATAGGAGGGCAAGAGCACTCACAACATTCTAGTTTTCTCCTTGATGCCATAAGGTCTAGAGACTTGCTTCTTTTGAAAAAGGGCAACGGTGTAAAGAGAGGGCACAGCAAATTCTTGCAGTCTTGGCTCTGCAGTTGTTGGATCTAATCAGGGTGCTGGACAGATTCTGGATGAGTTCTCTGGAGCAGTGAAAACCTCAGTCTGTCCCATGATTTCTCCGTTGGACACACGAGTGGGCCATGAGCCTTCCTAGGCCTTATTTAGTCTCCCATGGAATGGGCAGCTCTTGTAAAGGAAAGTTCAAGCTGACCTTTGGATCACAAGACCCTTTGCAGGGATGGCTGAGTGATGGGCCAAGAGGGTCTGGAGCAATCTTGATTTGCATCCTGGTCTCTCCAGGCAGCTAGCTGCATGACCCACTCTAAGGGTTAAGCCTCCACTTCCAGGGGAAATAAGATTATTTATTTATTTATCATCATTACTACTACTGACATTGCTGGTCGGAGGCAGGCAACAAGGAGTTTGGTTTTTGTCCCTGGCCTGTTTCTTTATTGTTCTGCAAAATTGGGCCCTTGCAGGAAAACTTTGATGCTGGGATGCCAAATTCCCTAGTGAGCCGCACTTCCCTCCCTGGATGGCTGCTGTGAAACTGGCGTGGGTGGGATTAGCTTCCATAAGCAGCCGAGGAGCATCTCAGGGCGATTCGCAAACAGGCTACAACAAAGGTGCCTGCTCTCTCATTTTCGTGCTGTCTCTGATCAGAGAGGTTCCAAGGTGACGTGTTTGGGGTGAGTGTGCCCCCCCCCCAATCTGTGTGTCTTGGGAAACAGTTTCTAAAGAAGGAGAAAAGGGGATGGGAGGGGGGAGCTTGGGCTCTGTTTTCAGAACAAACACTTGTGGCTGGTGGTCCTCCCTCCTGTTCTACCACCACCTTTTGCACAGATCAGAGGAATTTCTCAGCCTTGCGTTGCCCACCTAGCTGTTCCCTGGCTGAGGAGGGCTGGCAACACCACCCTGTGACCAGGATCAATCACTCGTGCCTGTTTGCAAAGTGCTTCCTTGCATTTGCACAGCAGAGATGGGCCCTCTCACTGCTGGGTCCCCTCATGGGCTGCCCCTCCTCCACTGTCTTTTTCCTGCTTCTCCTTGGGCGGGGGGGGGGACCTTCTCCTTGCTCTCTGCTGTCCTTGGTGTCCCCTTCCCCATTGTGCCCCCTTCCCCTTCCTACTTCCCTGAGTCCTTCTCCCAGTGGGGCTGCTCATTCCTACCAAGGTCAGCTTGGTGCTGGCTTCCTTTCCCCCTCATGCCCTTTGCTCCTATCCCCCCCCCCAACTGCACTTGGAGAGAAACCAGCAGGAGGGAGGTGCTTAGACAGTGTCTTGATCAGCCAGCATATCTTGGGGATCCTGTGGTTCTGGTTGGCCACTGTGGGAACAGGATGCTGGATTAGATGGGCCCTTTTTGACCTGACCCAGCTGCTGCAGGGCCCTTATTTTAATCTCGCCTCCTTGACTTTGAAACAGCCTGACTCTCTGGACCCCAAGCCAGAATCTCTGGAGCTTTCTCTGCATGTGTGTTGGAAGTGGGGATTAGGGCCTATTACAGGTCGTGCCTCCCCTCTCTACCCAGGATCAGCCCTGCTCCCTGCCCCCCCCATTCACTCTACTTATGGGGAAACTGCCCCATCGCCTGCTGTTTCCAGCCTGCTCCTCCCACTGGTGCTGCCTGCCCCCTTTTCCAGGCTCCTATTTTAAGCAGCTGCTGTTCCCCATGAGCTCTGCCATGTGACCTCCTCTGGTTTATTTCCACACGTCTATTAAAAGACGATGCCAAGTTAGGAGCCCTGTAGGAAGACAGCCTTGGCAGGACGGCTAATTTGGGCCTACACGACCTGCGCAACACAGCGGAAATGGGCAATTTGGGTTTCTAAAAAACACCCCTGGAGGTCCAGAGGTTGTTTATCCCCAGAGGGTGGGGTGGGTGAGCCATTCCTAGTGATGTCCTGTGCCAAAAACCTTACCACCTCGCTCTGCGCAGACTAATATGAAACTGTCCAGGATTTTGTCCTGGTTTTGCGTTGTTCTTCTAACCTTTAATGTATTTCTTTAAAAAGAAAAAAAATTCAGACAAGCACATGGAAGCTTAACGCAGATCCAATAAACTTGCTCTCCACATTTTGAACATTGTATAAGAGCACTATGAAAACAGACACATGGAGAGTTTCCAGCTGAGGTGGAGGTAGTATTATAGCAGCTAGAGGATGTCAGGCTAGGATTGGAGAGGCCCAGGCTCAGAATCCCACCCAGCCGTGGAGCCCCCAGAAAGACCCACCTCCGCTGAATACTAGTTGCTGGGAATCGCAGGTGGGCCGAGTGTGGCTGTTGTACTTGGATCCAGCTTGCAGACTTCCCATAACAGGCATCTGGTTGGCCGCTGTTAGAACAGGATGCCGTACTAGATGGGTCATTGACCTCATCCAGCAGGGTTCTACTTACAGACTTAGAAATGTAAACGTTCTTACATTCTTACGAACTTGGGCCAGTCATTCTCTTTCTCAGCCTCACCTACCTCACAGGTTTGTTCTGAGGATAACATAGTATGACTTCCACACACTCCTGCTGTGTGCAGAGATGCGGAATGTCTCAAACCAGCGCAAACTCCTCTTGTCTTCTGTTTTCCTCCTGGCATGTTTCTAGTCCTTATGTCTGTTGACAGAAACCTGATGAAACTGCAAAAACCTGGGTGGGGTGTCAGGTCCCTGTAATGTTTGCTTACCCTCTCCCCTCCATTCTACTTGCAGTTGTGACTATTATGTAACTGTAATCGCCATGATCTTTCAACTATATGTCCATGGACTCAGTTTGCATGACTGATCTGAGCTATTTTGGTGCAGGACGAGGTATGGAATGTCATGGAGAACAGGCCCAGCCATCAGCCTTCCACCCTCCTGTCTACAAGGAATATAATGATCTGTGAAAACTCAGGAGACACTCCCCTCACCTCTCGACTGTTTCTTTTGCAGGGCACACAGACATGTGGCTGGAGTGGCCAGGCAGAGCACGGCCAACGGGGAGCAAAGCCCCAGTCCCAGAGCCCAGCAGCAGCCAGCAGGCAAGACCCAGAGTGGCACAGTGAATGGCACAGGTGAGAGTGGAGAGAGAGGAGGAGGTGATGGTCTCTCCTCTGAAGCTGTAAGGCCAGCCCTGTGTGCCACCTCACTTGTGCTCTCCCACGTGCATTGATATAACTTTGAGGTGCTACCTGTAGATGAAAGATTATCTCCCCATGTCACTTCCCCAGTTTTACTTGGCCGGCTATGCTCTACATAGAGGTTGCCATTGGGGAAACTCTGGGCCCTTTTCAGGGTGATGGCGATGGACAGGGAATGAGACCTTGGGGTCCTAGTGGAGAGCTTGATGAAGATGTTGGCCCAGTGCGTGGTAGCTGGAATTGATACTAAAATGGCCCATGCTGTTATCAAAATCTATGATGCAACCGCATTTGGAATGCTGTGCATACTTCTGGACGCTTCACCTCCGAAAGGATATTGTAGATCTGGAGACCATTGGGAAAGGGGCAGCCAGAATGATCAAGGGGATGGAGGAACTCCTCTGTGAGGAAAGGTTGCAGCATTTGGGGCTGCTTAGTTTAGAGATAAAACGAGTAGAAGGTGATACAAAAGGAGTTTCTAAAACTGCACATGGCATGGAGACATTGGGTAGAGAAAGGTTTTTCTCCCTCTCTCAACACAAGAACATGAGGCTACCTAATGAAGCTGGATGGTGGAACATTCAGAACAGACAGAAAGAAGGACTTCTTCACACAACAGGCAGTTAAGCTATGGAATTTGCTTCCCCAATATGCAGTGGTGGCCACCAACTTGGATGGCTTCAAAAGAGGATTAGACAAATTCAGGGCAGGGTTACAGCTGGCTACTTGCCCAAATGGCTGTGTTCTGCCTTCACTGTCAGAGGCATCTGGAAACTGCAGGAGGGCAGAGTGCTCTTTTGCTGAGGTCCTGCTTGCAGGCTTCCCACAGGCATTTGGTTGGCCGCTGTGAGAACAGGATGCTGGGCTAGATGGGCCCTTGGCCTGATGGCTCCTGCTATGTTCTTAGGAGGCATCAGCATCCCCTCAACTCTGCCATAATTGCTCCCCTCTCTTTCAGTGAATGGTGAACCTGCCAGTTCCACCCTCGATGTCCCTGAAGATGAACAGGCTGTGCCACCTGAGGCTGTGTCAGGTGCGACCTCCAGCTCTGGCACAGCTCATGACTCTCCAAGGGCAGGGGAATCTGCCCCCAGCTCAGAGGCCCAGCCTTCTCAGCCAGCAGCACAGACTCTGGAGGTGCTGCCCTCTGGGTAAGTGGTGCCCTGATCTCTGTTTGGGCACCTTGGCCACGGCATGAATGCCCTTAGCCAACTAGGGGGAGGTTGGGATGGGTCCAGGGAGTTGAAACCTTTAAAAAGTATGTTTCTGAATTAGAGGCTGTTCGCTAGGAGTAAAGTTTATCCTAGCGGGAACTCCTGCTCTCTTGTCTCTTCCAAAGTTCTCTCTTTCTAAGCAGGATGGGGCCCCAGGCCTACCTCACAAGACAGTTCCAGTGATTACTGTGATCATGTCTGTGAATCCCCTTCTGCATTTAAGAAATATGAATGCTAAGTATTATCATCCTTAGAGGAATGTTACAGTATTTTTGCAAGACCTGGAGTTCTAGGGAGGAAGGGGACTGGCTGTGACTGAGGTCCAGCTCTGAGGATGCCTGATCTGGGAGCAGAGTCTGGATTACTAGGGTTAAGAGTCAGTTGTGAACTCAACAGTTGTGGCTCCTCAGCTGCACCTGTTCTCCTTCCTTCCATCCTTTCTGGTCCTGCAGTGTGGCTATTTCTGTTGAGCCTTCCAATGCCCAAACACCACCTCCTGACTCCTGCATTTCCGATGAAGGGAGCCATCTGTTTTCCTTCTGGCCTCTCGGTTCAGAGTCTCATGTGTGTGTTTGCATCACTTGCAGGTAATTGGGGGGCCAGCAGCTCAGAGCGCCTTTATGCCGGGCGTGTGAGCGCTACTGTTTTCAGGCCTCAGCCACTTCCTGTTTGCAGACAGCTGGAAAAGTCCAGGGCGTCTCAAAAGGCTCTTTCTTCCTGCTGGAGCTCTCCTCCCTTCCTGCTCACGTACTGCGGTGTGCCTGGGGTCCAGGAGGCAAGGGGGGCACCTGACGCCTTTATGCAGAGATGCTCCTGAAATGGAGGGCGCATCCCACAGCCTACGGCCGAGACACCATTCCTTTAAGGATCCTGGTGCTGACGGTCCCCTGCTATATAGCGAGAAGCTTGTGTGGGTGTGGGGTGGGGACTGCGCTGTGTACAAGCCAAGTTTCCCCTGCTTCTGTGGCTGAGGGATCTCAGGGCCTCTGGTGGGGCAAGTCCACAGGCCCTTCCAAGCCCTGGTGTGAATGCGCGCGCATGCAGGCCACTTCCAGCTCCTCCTGTTGGCAGCCCGGCAGTGTTTTGCTTGGCTGCGTCGGGCGCCTGCTTCAGGCCACTCCATTTGCATGGGCATAAACAGGCTTGCCGGGAGGTAGCCCATCAGAGGGGCGGGGGTGCTGTAGGCTGCCTTTATGCTGCTCTCCCTTAACATCTGCACTCAACGTGGCAAGCACAAAAGCCTCTCACATACATACAGCTGGAGCGGGGAGTGCAGGAGGCTGTGGAAAGCCATGGGACTAAACTGTTCCATATGCAGGGTGGGGGTGGGGTGTTCATGTTCCTGGGAGACCCACGACCTGGCCCTCAGTGAGGAGGACCAGAAGGGGTGCTGCTGTGCAAAGCTGGGATCCTTGTGGGGAAGGGGCATCCTGCTGTCACACACAGGCTCTCTTGCTCACTCCCTCTCCCTCTGGGCTGACGGCAGAACAGACACCTCCTCTCCCCCCGCCCCGCCCCTCCCCGACCTGCATCTGGTTCCTATCAGCGTTGCTCCTGCGTCGGGGACAGCGGCTCTCATTAACACGGCGGCGTGTACACCAGTTCGCGCCTCGTCTCGTGCATACAAAGAGGTGCATTATGCTCCCTTGCAGCAGGCGCGGCCTGTGGTTCTTTACGTAAGGCAGGGCGTCTCGCTTGGACGGCAAGGTGACCTCAGTACTGCTGTTTTGCTACCAGCAAGCCTCGTCTCCATTCAGAGCAGAGGTAGCCCAGGAGGATGGCGAGCTGATTGCCTGGGCAGCCACCTTCCTGAGCCACGTCTTGGCTTTATGGCATGGCAGTGCCCTGCCCTCTGGAGTGGAAGGCATTCCTTCTTGCAGATTGGTGGCCATTTATGATCCTCTGCAGAGCCTTCTGGAGTTTGGCTGGGGATATTTAAGAGGTGCATTCTGCATCTCCACAGTAACATCGTCTCATATATCCTGTTTTGTATTTAAAAAAATAAAGTTTCTAGCCCTTATGAGTTGTTGTTGTTTAAATGGCAGACTGTTCTTCGTGAAAATGTTGCCCAATCAGGGATTGCTCCTTAATCTTGCTGTGATTGGCCAAAGCAAAACAAAGATGGGCTGTTATGTGTGCCTGCTGATGCCTTTTGGAAGCTGTAGGTCCTGCAGAAGTTGTTGGGGCCCCAAAACTTTGACATGCACCCTTGGATCTGGCTGGAGTATTGCTATACAGTTGGAGCCAGTGGGTGCAGAGGAGAGGGTCCTGTGCCTTTGCTCATAGAGCAGCTTGAGTAAGCCACTGTGCCTACTTTACAGGGCTGTTGGAGTCATAGAAAAAGTGAGAGTCACAAAGTTCTTCATGCTCTGAAAAATGCTAGAAATAAGTAATAGCAACAAGGGTTGCCTTGGCTCACAAAATGGGCCCTCCGTCCCCTTCTCACTCTGTGTCTTCTCTCTTTCTGTCCTTCAGGTGGGAGCAACGAGAGCTGCCAAATGGGAGAGTGTATTACGTGGACCACAACACAAAGACCACCACCTGGGAGCGCCCTCTTCCGCCAGGGTAGGTACTCTGACATGAGCATGTTTGCAGGATCTGGTCTGGAGATACTCAAAGGAGGGTGGCTGGGTGTGCTGTGGGAAGCAGATGCTCTTCAGAAGATCCTAACATATGTGATAACATATATATATACACATACAGGCACTTTATATATCTCCGAGGCCATAATTCTAGGGCAGGCTCAGTGTTCAGCTGCCCAGGGCTTGCAAAGACAGCTGGAACAAGGACAATCTGCTTGATTGTTTTCATTACAAAAGTGCACATTTTGCTCTTTGGTCCAAAGGCTTTTAGAGCTACTTGCTCTTAAAAAAATGCAAATAACAGCATTAATTAGTTAAAATAGCAGTAGTCGAATAGTTGCGAAAAGCACACCAGCTTTGGAGCACATTTAAATCAGCTTAAAGTCCACTTGGCATTGGAAAGAGAGCAGAGTGTCTAGCAGTCAAGCCGCCTCGGGGAGAGCATTCCACTGCTTGGACGGCCCTTTCCTTCCTCACCTACCAACTTTGCTTCAGAAGATGGGGGAGCTTGGAAAAGCATCGGCACTGGGCAAGGTAAGAACTAACACCTTGAGCTGTGCCCAGTGCAGATGCTTTTAAGACTGGCCAGGTGTCTTCCATATACCTGGTCTCAGTTGCCATGTTCTTTACTAGTCAAAGTTTCTGAGTCTTCTTCAAGGGCACATGGCCAAACAGTGCGGTACCAGAGCCCAGCTCACTCTCTTTCCAAGAGGAGCATCAAGCTGGCGCTGTAGCCATCACTGGTGAAAGGGGCTTCAAGCTGCGAAAATTGCTTGGGGTTCTAAGGACGGGGCTGGATTTAACAGGACATGCCCCCCCCCATATCCTTCAAACCTAATCCTGTAAGGGGAGTGCAGCTCTGGCCAGAGAAGGCCAAACTCCACCTCCCAAATCTGTTACCCTAAAGGGGTGTGTGGGTTGAAGAGGGTTAATTGCTTGGATATTGGCAGAATTATGGAAGAACATCTGGGGTGCCTGAAACAGGGAAAATTCTTCATCCAACCCCAAAAGCCACCTCTGGCCCAGAAACAGTCCTTGGCAAAAGAAGTTCCCATGATGGTAGAAGAGGATTCATCTGCCACGTATGTGTTTGTGTGTGCGAGAGAGAGAGAGAGAGAGAGAGAGACAAACAGAAAGATTAGGCTCTTCTTTCGCCCCTGCAGCTGGGAGAAACGAGTGGATCCCCGTGGCAGGTACTACTATGTGGACCACAACACTCGCACGACCACGTGGCAGCGCCCCACCGCTGAGTACGTGCGCAACTATGAGCAGTGGCAGAGCCAGCGCAACCAGCTTCAAGGAGCCATGCAGCAATTCAGCCAAAGATTTCTCTACCAGGTGAGGGTATTCCCAGCCCCAGCCAGCCAAACTGCACAGAGCGGCTCTGCCGCCTTCCCACAGCCACCAGTCCCTCTGCTAGGCTGCAAGAGTAATGCTCTAGGCTGCAGAGAAATAGCTCAGGAGAACTGGGTACCAGGAGGGCCTGCATCAAAGATGCCTACTAATACCTGCTGGCATCTACAGCAGAAGAGACCCAGAGGAAGAGCTGCAAGGGGACTTGGTTAGCTTACAGACAGGCCCCTTCCATAGCCCCTTCCTTTTGCGGCTTTGGTAGCCGTTGCCTGCTGGCTGCCTCGGTCCTGCCCCTGCTGCGGTCTAGTGTTGCTCTGGAGCCTTCCCTTGAGGGCTCTGAGAGCCTGATTCCATTACTAATATCGTTTGTTTCATTGTCACTATCTGTAGGCAGCCCTGTAACAGAGATCCCAGGGCAGCTTACAGCAAGTAATAAAAGACAATGAAACAGTATATATTGAGAAAGGAGCAGCCAAGAGTAAAACATGAAACTGAAAGAGAAGGCCCTGAGGTTTCCCTCCTGGCTGCTATTCACAGGGCCCCCTGCCCCTTAGTGAGGCCAGAAACAGGCACAGCTCTTGAGCTCATGGGGCCCTGCACAATCCCTCTGCCCAATGGCCCTGTAAGAACACCACTATTCTGTGTGTAATGTACCCTTAAAGAGGCATTGTGAGTGTGGTGCCTGTGGCTTGGAGTGTGGAAAGTGGCCGGTTTTCATTTAGGCATGAGCGACTAGAAATGTCTGGTTGAAATTCAGGGGATTGGGGTAAGGAGAGACTGTGTTTCCCTAGTCCTGTGAACAGATCTGGTTTGAGGCTCCCTCTTTTGATTGTCAGTACTGCTGGCAGACCCCAGTCTGGGTGCACTGCAGGGTCAGGACTTGTTGTGAGAGCCTGCTGGTCTTCCTTGGCTTGGGAACCTGCTCCCCACTCCACAACGCAGGAGGCACAAGACCCTGGCAGCACCGTGGTGGTCAAAATAGAGGCCTGCATCTTGTTGTTATTCCCTTCTGTTGGGCCGATGGCTTATTCTCTGCCTCTACAGCCACGCCACAGCTGACCACACATTACAGTGTGGAGAAAACTGCTCTTTGCCACACCAGAGCAGCTCCCTCCATGTGGAAAGATGTTCAGAGGGCACCATTGTTCGCCTTGTAGTGACTTTGCTGGCCAGTAATGGAGTTGCTGTTCCCAGGAAGGCGACCCCAGCTTTTTGAGGGGTGTGACAGGAATGGGACTCTGAGTGAAAAGTCTTTTGACGTGAGCCTCCGGGTCCCAGGAGTTCTGTCTGGCCTGGCTTTCTCCAGAGACGCGTGAGGGAGGGGGCCTAATCTAAACAGCGCGCTGCTGAGGAACTGTCTCCCCCTTCCCCAGCTTGCCCAGCAGGCTTCAAATGGGTCCCCCGGCCCAGCCTGCCTGGAGTTGGATAAAGGTGCTTTGTATGGGGCCTGGACCTGTGGGGGGCTGTGGGGGAAACGCCTGTCTGTGCGGCATGAATGTTCCCTCAGTCCGTGAGCATCTCGCGCCCGGCCGTTGGGTTTCACGGTCCTCTGTGAGGGAGGCAGGGCAGGCAGGCAGGGAGGGAGGAGAAGGAGGAGGAGGAGGCAAGCAGCCCGCAGGCCCAGCCAGGAAGCTCTGGGCGTGGACAGGGCTTGTGGGAATGATTTCATTGGAAAGGCCTGCAATATTCCCCCCCCCCCCCGGTTGTGTGTGGTTCTTGGAGGAGGTTGGAGGTGGGACTGTGGTGGGGCTCTCAGTCGCCTCAGCCAGCACAGGGGCAGCAGCAGCTGCTTTCTTGCCTCCCTCCCTTGCCTGCCTGCCTGCCACCTGGGCTTTTGCAGCTCCTTCACTCCCGTCCTCTGCCCCAAGCCGCACACATTCAGGCATCTGCTGTTCCCACAGTTGGTTGGGACGTGTGTGCTGTTGCTTTTTTAGCCAGCCTTGGCGGGCGGTGGGAAGAGAAGGCAGGGTGGAGGGCAAAACAGCTGGACCCCATCCTGCCTTCCAGCACTCTCTCTGGTAACCCCCGTGGTGTTTGTTTTGCCCCCTCCAGTCGTCGGGTGCCCCGTCTGACAATGACCCGCTGGGCCCCCTTCCTCCTGGCTGGGGTAAGTACTGCCTGGCTTCTTGGGCTTGGGGCTGACCTTCCTGCTGCTTGTACTGCATCTGCCTTTGGTGTAGGTGGGGTGGGTGGACTTCTCTTCCTTAATGCTGAGGGCAGGCAGGCACGAAGAGTTTGTGTTACTCGGCCAGCGAGACCTGCCTGGGCTCTGAGTTCAAATCCTGATACCATGGCAAAACTCTCTCCCAAGTCCAGCAATGCTTCTGCTGCCGGTGGTGCATTTCCAACCCTGGCTTCATTTGTTTCTCTTTCTCTTATTTGGAGGGAGGGTGGGAGCTGCTCTCCTCCCTATGTGGTTGGGCTGCTTCTGCTGGGCTCCCCTTGGAGCCTGCTTGGTCCCTGCTGCACCTGGGGGAGAAGGGGAGGTGATGCTAGGCAGCACAGGATATGGAGAGAGCTTGTCCATGGTGGAGACACTTTGGGAAGCAGGTAGAAGTGGTTCTTGGGATGTAGAGCCACTGTGGAGCTTGGGATGTGCCAAAGGAGTCAGGGCTCACTGATCTGATCCTAACACCCGGGGAAGGAGGGAAGTGTGTGTGCATGGGGAGAGGATGCTGCCTCCTGTTGGACCCTGAGACAATTAGAATGAAACCAAGGGATGTCAACAGTAATTCTTCCCCCCTGCCCCCTACCTTTGTGAGCTAATTCAGAAGAAGCCCAGAGGGGCTGCAGGGGCCAGATGGGATCTGTGTTGCTGACACTGAACTGTGTGTGTGTTGTGCTCTTGTAAAAGGCCTAGCAGAAATGTGGTGGGAGGCCACTGGACTGTCCAGCGGGTTGGGGGAGTGGGGTCTGGAAGTCCAAACATGAAACTTAGTGTGTGTTCGGTCAATTCTCCACCCCACCCAATTTGGGACTCAGGACCTTGGCAAGAGCAGCCCCAGGAGAGGCAGGGACTGCCTGCAAGGATTCAGGAGCTGAGAAAGAGGACTGGATGGACTTGAGGAGAGATGCTCTTGGATGCCAGGAGAGGGGCAGCTCTCACCAGGGGGACCCTTTGCAAACAGTCTCGAGAGAAATCATTGCAGCTTGGGCCAGCGATGCCACTGTGGGCTGCTGGGATCTTTGCCTGAGCATCAACAGCAACTTCCCTTTGCTGGAGACGGAGGAGAGGTTGTCAGCTGCTGCTGCTACTACTACAGAGGGCTGAGCATCCAGCCTCACTGAAACTGGGTCTGAGAGAGAGACAGATGTCAAGGTTTGGCTCTTGGCAGTCTTGCAGACCTAGTGCCCTTGTGGTGGTGGTGGGGAGGTTGAAGAGGATGGACAGACGCAGCTGTCAGAATTCACTGTAGCCAGACACCTGCTGGCCATCTGCCGGATCATCATGAGGACCTTGGTTTTATGTGACCCTTTGCCCCTCCCTCAGCACTCATCCTGGGCAGGGAAAGACAGAGAGGGACGGCCCTGGGGTTAAGCAGGGAAGGGGCAGTGGTGATGCACCTTCTTGCTGTTTGGATCCTCAAGAGCACAGGCTACCACGGCTGTGGGTTCTTCTTGCTCTCTCAGGGTGGTGATGGAGGTGGGGGGTGGGAGCAGACTCTCTCCCTAGGAGTCAACAAATCTGCTTTGCCCTTGGCTGATCCTGCACATACAGGCCAGGCTCCCTACCCAAGTCGCTGAGTCCCCAGGACAGCCCTGCTGGGGCTGAGAGGTCAGAGGAAGGGCCAGCTGTTTGGGGGCAGTTCAGGAGGGGGGGCACTGAGCCCCTCCCCACCTTTTGCAGGCCTGGCGTTAGGTTGCTTGCTGTGGTAGAACCATCAAGGGCTTCAGAGCTGAAACGGGGGGAATGAGCAAGCATTGTAATGGGGTAGAAGTGAGCTTGAGTGAGCAGGGAAGGATGAGAGAGAGGCTGTCCTGCTTGTGAGCTTGCAGAGGAAGGAGGTTATCACAGACTCTCATTCATGGGCACCACCTCCCTCTCTAGGAAATGGGCACCTAAAGCTAGGCCTCTGAGGCTGGGAGATGAGCTGTGCCTGAGCCAAAGGGGTGCTGACTGCCATGCAACTTGTGTTCCCCTAGAGGAGGAGGAGAAGTGGTCCCCAACCTGAGACCTTCCAGATGTTTGAGACTCCAGCTCCCATCAGCCCTAGCCAGTGGAGTAGAGGGTACCACCAGCTGGAGGGGTGCCAGGTGGGGGGAAGATGGATTCCTTGTGGGGAGAGGCTGGTGTGTCTTGGGCCTCTTCCATGCAAGACTTGGAGGCACTATTCTCTGCTGTGACAGGGAGCATGTTGGAAGACCCTGGCATGCCAGGCTCGTCCCATCTGAGCCTGGCTGCTGTGTGTCTGCTGGTTCTGGATTCCCCATTAGATTTTCCTGCTGGGCCCCAATCCAGCCTGGCCAGAGAGAGGGAAACTAACATTACCTCTCCATTCTTTCCTTCTCCTTCCAGAAAAAAGACAGGACAACAGGCGAATCTACTACGTGAACCACAACACCCGCACCACACAATGGGAGGACCCCCGCACCCAGGGGTAGGCTTGGCTTCCTTTTGCTGGCTTGCACTCCGGGACTCCTGTCTAGTAGCCTTGGGACAACTGTGAGGTCTCTTCAGCCTGCAGAGGGGCATAGGAAGCCTGCAAGGGGTCTCAAGCTGTCCACCAGGCCCCACAGATGGACTTGAGTTGCATCATTCCCAGCGGCTCCTGGGACAGGCAGGGGAGGCTCCTTCTCAGGCCCTTGGGCATGTGCCCTGAGTTCCAAGCCTGGTGAGCAGGCAGAACGACTGTGCCCAGCAAGACTGTCTCTGCCTGCTCCTGGTTCCTGCCCAAGGCTGAACTGGAGCTAGCATACTGGGCATGGGTGGAGCATTTTGTGAGCTGGGTTGAGGCCGCCACGAGCAGAAGCTGCCGCTGCCTCCTGCTGCAGTGGGTGGGTCTGGGCAGGGGAAAGAGATCAGGCCAAGGTGTGTGTTGCCATTGAACTTCTTACTCTGCTCAGGATGATCCAGGAGCCAGCGCTGCCACCTGGCTGGGAGATGAAGTATACAAACGAGCGGGTGCGTTACTTTGTGGACCACAACACCCGCACTACCACCTTCAAAGACCCCCGTCCCGGGTTTGAGTCAGGGTAAGTCCCTCCGGTGTGGCGCTCTGCCCTCTCGGCACCGCCCAGCATAGCCTCCAGGTTCCTGTGGGTTTCTTCCCAGATGGAGGATTCCTTGTGAGGAGGGATTTTTGGCCATCTGACCCTTGTTTGCCAGCCAGGCTTTGAGGGGTGGTGCAGTGCATTGTGGGAGCTTTTAGGACCTTCCGGATACAGTGCTGAAGATTGTGGGATATCCACTCTGTGTTCTTGGAAGGTATCTAATGAATCTGGAATGTTCACACAAACTTAAACTGTGGGAGAGAAGGAAACCAGTCAGTCTCAAGAGCCAATAAATGTGAATGTGGCCAGGGCCGCACTAAGGCCGTGTTTACTGTTGCAGGAGTAAGCAAGGTGGGTCACCTGGAGCATATGACCGAAGCTTTCGCTGGAAGTTCCACCAGTTCCGCTTCCTTTGCCATGTGAGTTGCTCATTCACCATGTTCCCAGCAGGGCAGGAGGAGAAGCTGCGAGATTCCCAGAAAATCTGTGGCTCCCGGTGGCGGGCGGGGGGTGGGGACGAGGATGCCCAAACCTAGACAGGATGCAGGGACCGAATATGGGTCGTTGGGCCTCTCACAACCTATATCTCCTTCACAGTCCAACGCGCTGCCCAGCCATGTCAAGATCAGTGTCTCTCGGCAAACACTCTTCGAAGATTCCTTCCAGCAGGTGACTGAGGCCTGGGTCAGAGGGAGGGGAAGGGAGGCTGGTCACCCCTTGGGCAGAGCACCCTTGTCCTCTCCCCACTGCACCTGCCAACCTCACTTCTCTCTGCTCAGATCATGAACATGAAGCCTTATGATCTGCGGCGTCGACTGTACATCATCATGCGTGGGGAGGAGGGCTTGGACTACGGCGGAATTGCCCGGTGAGTAGGCACAGCACAGTGGGGTGGGGGTGGTAGATTCAAATTTCCACCCTCCCTGGTCCTTTGGGATTTATCCCACCCTGGGAAAACTGCTGAAGCAGCAGTGTGGAGGTGACTCAGGACATCGGGGTGGGATCGACAGGGCCTGGCCTTCTGCAGAGAGCATGAGAGGGTCCCCTGGTTGGCTGGCTGTGCAGCCTGAGACTTGAGAGGCCTCCTGGTGGCCTCCTCTGCGGAGCTTCGAGTCCAGCGTGTTCCAGACGGGCTGCCACTTCGGCTCCAGACGGCAGCCACTCCCGCCCTGCAGGAGCTTCTGACGCATCTCCCTGTGTCCTGCCAGTGGTTTTACCCTATGGTAGGTTACGTCATGCTGTTCTACCACAGGGTAGAACCACGGACAGGATGCGGGGGCTCTCTGCACCAAAGGAGGGAGATAGCCAAGAGAGAGCAGTGATTGTGGCTGCCGAAGGAGCGTGTGTGCGCAGGCCCCCACCCACCCTTGCGCAGGACGGGTGACAATGGTTGGGCCTGAATGGCTAGGCTGGGCTGGCTCTCATCAGGCATCTTTCTCTCCCCCCCACCCCAACAGTGAATGGTTCTTCCTTCTGTCCCACGAGGTGCTCAACCCCATGTACTGCTTGTTTGAATACGCTGGCAAGAACAACTATTGCCTGCAGATCAACCCTGCCTCGTCCATCAACCCCGACCACCTCACCTACTTCCGCTTCATTGGCAGGTTCATCGCCATGGTGAGCATCTCCTGGGGGGTGGGAGTGGGGCCAAGGCCGCCTCTGCCTCTGAGGGCTTTTGTGCAGGGGCGGTGTGGGGCTGGGTGGGGCTTCTGTTGCCTCTCACTACCTCGGGAGTTCTGCCCTTCACCTTGACTGCAAAATCATTGGCGGCTGTGCTTTCCATAGCATTTGCGCAAGCTATGCCACTTGCATTTCGTGGGTGCTTGCTCACAGTGTAGACAACTTGTTCTCTAAACTCAGGTTGCCAACCCAGAAGTGCAGGTCAACCAAGAAGTGCAAGGGCCATAGCTCAGTGGCACTGTGCCTGCTTTGTATGCAGGAGAACCCAGGTTCAATCCTTGGCATCTCCAGGTGGGCTGGGAAAGAGTCCTGCCTGAAAACTTGGAGAGCTGCTGCCAGTCAGTGGAGACAGTACTTTGCTTAGGTGGGCCAGCGGTTTGTCTTGGAATAAAGCAGCTTCCTGTGTTCCTATGAAGCTGCTTTAGGTCAAATCAGGCCACGGTTTGATCTATCCTAGTATTGCCCAGCCCAGCCTGGTGCCCTCCAGATGTTTCAAAGTGCAAGTCCCACCACCCCAACCATTGGCTGCGGCTTATGAAGGGCACCAGGTCGGGGAAAGCTGCTGTCCTGGCTGGGTTTCAGACAGGAGAGAGGAATCCATGCATCTAGCAAAAAAAAAGTCCTCAAAAGCTCTGTGGGCCACAATAAATCTGTTGGTTTTTACATTGTCACAAAGGTTCTTTGTTGCTTTTTCTTCAGGAGGCTAACACAGCTACTACCTCTCTGGGATTTGATATTGAGCTATAGTACTAGTGGCATTCAGGAGAGGCTACTGTGAAATCTTCAGGAGCGATGCATCAAGTGTTTGCTCTTAACAATCTTTGAGGTGAAAGGGAGGCACCCCCCTCCTCTCCCAGTAGCACCCATTGCCATTAGTGGCCGCTCTGCAATGTTCATCCTGTCCAGTTCCACCCACCTCACCTGGCCAACCAGTGCTCTGGCAGCATTTTGCTTCTGGCTGTGCTTCTATTTCTCCACTGTATTCTGGCCATTCGTGGATCACGTGGGGAAGGACATGATGGTGTCATGGCACTAAGTGGCTGAAAGCAGCTTTGAACTCTGGTTAAATTGGGGTGGGGGGATGTCTGTCGCCAAGGCAACCCTGTTGCGCGTTGGCCTGGTTCCTTTGGCAACAGGGACATATTTCTGCCCCTCCAACAGTTTTGCTGGGAAAAGGTGTACACAGGAAAGAGAAATCATTTTTTCCCCTGGAATAAAAAAAGAAAGGGAGTTTTGCAGAGTGGGAATCAAAATATTTGCGTTCTTCAAAACTAAATTTAATTCTGTGGCCAAAGACGGCTTTGTATCCATTGAGTTCCGAAATGGCACGTAAAGTCTCCTGTTCTGACTTTGTTGAGCAGAAAGGAAGCAGCCAGGAAAAATGGATCAGGTCAGGTGGCCTCTTTGTGACAAGAGTGTGTCATGGAACACTTTCTTCCCTTGTTTTTCCAGAGTTCTGTATTTTTGTTTCTTAGCAGAGAAAGGAGTGTAACTCCCCCCCCCCCTTGATCCTCCTGGCAAAAGGGGAGGAGAACTGTGCCTTTGGCCTGGCCTGAGAATTCTACAGGAGGAAAACGCAGCTGCCCACACCCAAAGAAAGGGGCTGCTTGGGAATTAAACCCCCCCCCGCGGCCCCAAGTGCTCTAGAGGGCAGGCGCTGCCCCTAGACCGAGTCTCGGGGCCCGATCCCTGAGTGGGCTTGCCCTCCTTTGGCCTTTGAAAGAGCAGGAAGAACTTTTCCCAATGGTTTCCCCTCCTGGCTCCCCCTTCCCCTCCAAACCCTAGACTATTACTCACCACCAGGCTGGTCTTTTCCAGACGCGCAAAAGCGTCTGCGTTATTCTTGGCTCCCAGAAGACCGTTCTGTGGCCGCGGAGTTTTGATTAAACAAACGTTGCTCCAGAGCTGTTTGGGGAGCAGGCTGGCTGCCTTGCCTCCCCAGAGGGGGAAATTTGGGTACCCGCTGGAAACCAAAGTGTGGGTGGGGGGAGCTAACAGTCCCTGTGGCTCTCAGCCTTCAAGGCTCTTTGTTGCTTCAGGCGCAGGTACTGCCAAGTGCCACCAGAAACATAAGGACCCTTCCTTGGGTCATCTAGCTGAGTATCGTCGTACACGGGCTGGCAGCAGCTTTCCTGGATTTCAGGCAAAGGTCCTTCCCAGCCCTGCCCAGAGATGCCATTAGGGATTGAATCAGGAACATTCTGCATGCCAAGCAAGGGCTCTGCCACTTGTGGGTCCTTATTGTTGGCAAAGGAAGAGAGGGCTTTCTTCTTGGTGACACCTCAGCTGGAGTGCACCTCCCTAGAGAACCATGCCTAGCACCCATTTTGTTGCCTTTTAGGCATCAGGGTAAGGCACCCAATTCTCTGGGCATTGAAATGAGTTGTGTTTTAAAGACTAGAAATGGAGTCCACACAAACACAACCACTACGCTACTTTATGTGATTTTTGTCATGTTGTCGGCTGGGATTTCTGTGGGACTTGGATTCCAAATGAACACAGGGCTAAATGTTTCTGGTATATTGGCACCTTAAATTAAAAAAAAGAATAACTTTGGAGCCTAGTGTGCAGTGGAGGTGTGTGTCTGGGGGAATGCAAGAAGAGAGTTGATGGGATCAGCTGCCCCTTTGATGTGTGTGGAGTGTGTGTGTTGTATTTTTGCTTTTCCTCTGCAGTTTGGTGCTAAGCTTGCTCTAACGTCTTTTTTGGGGGGTGTGTGTGTGTCTCCTTGTGCTGCAGGCTTTGTACCATGGCAAGTTCATTGACACGGGCTTCACACTGCCCTTCTACAAGCGCATGCTGAACAAGCGGCCGACCCTCAAGGACCTGGAGTCTATCGACCCCGAGTTCTACAACTCCATCGTCTGGATCAAGTCAGTGCTAGCAAGGGTGCTGCTTGCCCCCCCCCCCACATTTCCTCCTGAGCCCATGTCCCATGGAGCTGCTGACCCAAACCCACTGATGGCTTGCACAGCCACTTTTAACCTGTGGTGATCTCATAGCACCCAGCATTGCAGCCCCGCCCCTCCTATTGCTGTCGCTTGGCACCTTGCCCAAGTGTGCAGCGTTTAGTTGCTCTCATCTTCTGTGTTTCATGTAAAAGCAAGAGGGGCAGTCCGCCAGCCCAGGGGCCAAATGTAGCCCTCCAGACCTCTCTGGGAGGTTCCCCACAAGGGGAAGTGACCTTCCAGTTGAAATAGGTCCCACCCCGGTGTAGGGTGACAAACAAGACAGAGCAAAGGGGCAAAGCAAAATAGCCCCCTAGAGAAGAGACCTTGATCTGAATGTTGCTGTTATAATGAGCAGAAGAGGGAGGATGAAACTGGCGGGGGCTGCTTGTGGCATAGCGCCAAGGAATTGTGGTTTGCAAACCAAATTAGGGCTGGGGATGCTGAGAGCCGGTCTCGTTATATCTTCTGGGGGGGAATTAAGCTACTGAGACTGCAGGGGCAGTTTTGTCCGTCCCAACTAGGGACGCCATGCATGCCTGGAACTCGGGATATCCTGCCATCTACAGCAGCCACTCGGTCTGTGATCTTTAGCCCCCAGAACCTGATTCTTGTAGGTTTCAGCGGCAGCTGCTGAGGCCCCCAACTGTCCTCCTAGTGAAGATTCATCTGCTGCTTCTCTCTCCCACCCTTTGCAGAGAGAACAACCTAGAGGAGTGCGGCCTGGAACTCTACTTCATTCAGGACATGGAGATTCTGGGCAAGGTGACCACCCACGAACTGAAGGAGGGTGGAGAGAGCATCCGGGTCACTGAGGAGAACAAGGACGAGTACATCATGTGAGTTCCTGGTCCTCGCTTTCCTGAGGCTTAGAGGTGCTTCGAGAAGCAGCTTGGCCAGAGGCTCTTTCATTTTGCATGCCATTTGGCTCCAGGAATTGCCTCTTTGCTGGGCTGCTGACCAGGCAGTTTGGTAGGCCACGAAATTAAGCTCTGCACTCTGCTGTTATGCTCACCAGCTAGCCTTGGGCATTTGGTGCTCAGTTCCCCATCTGTAGAATGGGAGCGTTGTGGACCAACTTCACTGGCTGATTCTGAGAATGAATGCGATACAGATGATAAGGCATTTGGGATACTCAATTGTGGTGTATGTGTTCATTAATCCATGAAATGCAGGAAATAGGGTCCTCCCAAAATCACGTAGCTGAGGTTTGGATCAAGCCAGGGCCAGGTCAATCAGTTGCAGGTCTTTAGGTGCCCAAGGGGTGCTGAGTGGCTGGTCTGTCTATCCTTGCAGGTTGCTGACAGATTGGCGGTTCACCCGGGGTGTGGAGGAGCAGACCAAGGCCTTTCTGGATGGCTTCAATGAGGTGGCACCTCTGGAGTGGCTGCGGTACTTTGATGAGAAGGAGCTAGAGGTGAGCTGGGATGTTGGAAGCTTGGGGGCCTCCTCTCCTACCCAGAGGGGCCTGTCCTCCTGCCCTGGGCTCTGCCTTCGTACATTGTCAGGCTGTGCAGAGGTGACGGCAGTTGAGCGATCTACTGTCTGGCTTCCAATGAGCCAACTACATGGTCATCTACCATCTTACATTCCTTCAGCCCCTCGATAAGGCTGCCACTCCTTGCGAATACGAGACCTCTGACTGTTAAATGACTGTCAGTGGAACAATTATTGAGAGAAAGGGACATTTCAGAGGGACCTTGGTATTTACTCAATTTGAATTTTTTTTTAAAGTTCTAATTGAATCTCCACACTGCCCCTTGTCCTCTGACTAATCAGGAAGTAAATCTTGTAAAAAACACACACATATTTTAGTCCAATGTGTCAAGTAGGCAGGTCAAGTTTAGCTTCCAGTTTGCAAGATGCCCAAGTTCCGCAGCCGCACTCTCAAAATGATAGAAGCCTTGCCTTGGTGGGTCTTGCCTCTGGACTCTCCCAGTGACCCGGGCTGGGGCCCCTCTCGCCTTCTCCTCCCTTCTAGCTGATGCTGTGTGGCATGCAAGAGATTGACATGAGTGACTGGCAGAAGAACACCATCTATCGGCACTACACCAAGAACAGCAAGCAGATCCAGTGGTTCTGGCAGGTGAGCCTCCCCAAGGAAGAGCTCCTGGCCAAGGGGTCCCGCGTATGGACAGGGGGAAAGGAAGCTTTGCCCTGGACAGACCCTTGGATGTGGCAGAGTACTGACACATGCCTCTGGTCATATGCAGAGTGCATTTGCCTCATCAGTAAGTCACCGTGATGCAGGACCTGTTTGCAGGACCTTTTAGTTCTGAGGATCTGACTTCCAACCAGATGTCTCTCCCCGCACTTAGCTGTCATTGCTATTAACACAGTCAGTGTTGCTTTGGGCAAATCCATGTCGCTGAGAGCCTGAAATATTTTTGGGAAGGTGGGAGCCTGTTCTGACATCCCCTACCCATGTTGGCTGCAGGTGGTCAAGGAGATGGACAACGAGAAGAGAATCCGGCTTCTGCAGTTTGTGACGGGGACTTGCCGGTTGCCAGTTGGAGGATTTGCTGAGCTTATTGGTATTTGTGCATTTGGCTGCCTAGGGAGGGAAGCAGGGGATGTCGCCGTCCCAGTTGCTGAGTGACTGTGGGAGAGCTTCATGGTGGAGGGGAGGGTTGTGTGGTTCTGTCTGTCAGGCTTGGAGCAGGGCTATGGGGGCACGTGGAAGTTGTTTTGAGCCTGGTTGGTTGCCTTTGCTTGTGGTGAAGGAACTCGGCTCAGTCTACTTCTCAGCTTTAGTCTTAGAGGTGGGGTGGGGTTGCCAAGATGGTTTGCAAGCCAGTTTGCATTTGAAGTGCAACTGTGTGTTCTTGTCACACCCCATGGGTACTTTCTGTGGGTTTCTGATGTTGTGCTTCTTTTCTGACAGGCAGCAACGGGCCCCAGAAGTTCTGCATTGATAAGGTTGGCAAGGAGACCTGGCTTCCCCGTAGCCACACATGGTGAGTTCGTCTGCTTTGGCCCTTCCTGCCCATGCTTTGGATGGGTGGGAGGGCACTTCCTTACCTTTCCCCCTGCTGATTGGCTGCGCTGTCTTCCTTTTGCAGCTTCAACCGCCTGGACCTGCCTCCCTACAAGAGCTACGAGCAGCTGAAGGAGAAGCTCCTTTACGCCATTGAGGAGACAGAGGGCTTTGGGCAAGAGTGACTCCAAAGAGACCCTCCTGGGAAGCCATCCTGAATACCTGGAAATGGAGCCAAATCTCCAGGAAGGAAGGAAGGTGGAAGGAGGTGGCTTTGTGGAAGAGGGATTGCCCAGGCCTAGATCTTGTGGTTGGAGAATTAGAGGCTGCAGAAGGTGCTCCCCTTCTCTGCCCCCCCCCCAAAATATTCAGTTGCTTTCCAGCAGAGCAGTGGCTGCAAGTGGTATCCACCTCCTTCCCTGTGGATTCCTTGTACCAGTTTCTGAGCTATGCAGCCATTCTGCCCCACCTATGGGCCTCATGGGCTTTTGTCGTAGCTGCCTTTTAAAGCAATCCAGACCCACCCCCCACTGGTACCAGCCCACCAGGACATCCTGAACATTATGTCAAGGCATTCTGCACAGGAAAAAAGAGCACTTTTGAGAATTCCCCCCTTGCCAAGGACACTGGAGTGTGTTGCGAGCCCCTGCTCCAGATAGCTGCTGGGGATCGGTAGAGGCAGGATTTCCTACAACTTTCCAAACCCACCTCCTCTTTCCTGAGGCCTTTTCCCACTCCCTGTGCTGATAGGTGAGGCTTCTGTGCCCTGCAACCATGCTGGTTTTCTGCTGAGAGCAGTGGGCAGGATTTGGCCCACATCCCAGGCTCCTCTCCTCCCCAAACCCATGAAGCAGAAGACAGGGCAGGGCCCCAGGCAGTCCCCAGCTGTGTCATGGAGCAGGATCTGGGCTGTTCAAAGCAGCAAATGGGTACCCCACTCAACCCCAAAGGCTATAGACAAAGAGCCCTCAGGAAGAGAGAGGATGGCCTTTGGCCAGATTGCAGGGGAGGCCAAACCAGGCTTCAGCCAAGCATGGAGAACCTGAGTCTCCTGATCTGAGCTGTTCCAAGTCTTGTTGGAAGTGGGGCATCTTCTTTTTCTGGAAACATTGGTGCCCAGTGAGCTGCAAGATTGTAGGGGGAAGCCTTCACCTTGAATGTCTACAAAACAAGTTATCCCAAGTGCAGAACTCTGAACTATTTTGCACTAAAAGGCAGGAAGAAGGGGCAGGGGGCGAACCAGAAGAATCCCCTGTCTTTATTTCTGGATGTTTTTTTTTAAAAAAAATCCTCTGATTGGAGTATGTGTGGCTGGCACACCCTGAGAACAGGGACCAGATGCAAGAGTGGGAGTGGCATACGTCTGTGTGTGTGTCCTATGTCTACATGGCGGATGGTGGGGATGCCTCAAGCCTCCACAGCAAGGTGTATGTCTGCATATGAGAGCTGGACTGTGTGTGCGCGCGTGTGTTCATTTGTTTGTAAGTAAGTGTGTATATAAAATGTGTATAAAAATGTGTATATAAATGTCTGTGGATACAAAGAATTGCAATAGCTTTTGATGGGGATCCTGGATAGTTTTGTACTGCATCATCCTGCCTCAGTGACGCCAATTTCTTGTGCAATAAACAATCCGCAGCTGCTTGTGGGCTTCATGTGTCCCTCTGTGCTTTGGGAGCCTGATGTGGCTTCTCCTGGGTGCTGGGTGGGGCGGTTGCCAAACGTGTACATGGCGAAGGTTGTTGCTGTGTTAAAGAGCCACAGGTGGGGGCACCGCAGCTCTCATCGCCCTCTGGTCTGTGTGCTTCCCCCAATCCCCCCACTGCAGGATGACCCAGTTGAGAGTTTGGCCTGACTCCTGCCTGTTTCCCTGCTTGCAGGTGGAGGTTTTTGACCCCGTTCCTAATGCTCTCGCTTGAAAGGGAGCAAGGGGAACATCCTGTGGACAGGCAAAGAAGGACAGCCCTAGGCAGGCCTGGAAAACCAGGGCTGACCAAAAGGGGTTAAATTCTCCTTGCTTTTAAGCACATCATCCAGCCCACTGCTGTGCTGCAAATACTGCGTCTGTCATACAACTCAGCAGCTAGACGAATCTCCCCATCTAGTCTACTTCAGCAGTACAGAAGTGGCACACATTTTCGCAGCCCCAGAGGGGAGGCATAGCAGCTCCTGCCACCACTGCTCAAGGGCCTGCAAAGGTTTGCATGCACTCAGAAGAGTGGAGAAAGGACCCCAAGGGGCTCAGTTGCAGGAGGGCTCATGTAGGCTGCTTGGACTTCAACGTTTTTCCTGTTTGGGTTTTGAAAGTGTGTGCCCAGAAGAGGCTGGGGAGAGTGGTGTTCTTATATGCAGGAGTGCCATTGGGCTTTCCAGGATGGGCACCTGGCAGGCCACTGTCAGAACAGCAGGCTGGGCTAGATGGGGCCCCCTTGGGTCTGGTCGAGCTGCAGGGCTCTGCTTATGTTCTTTGAATGCTCGGACGGGAAAGCCACATTTTGCAGCAGTCCCAGGCCGCCGCCACCGCCTTCCCCAGCTGACTTGTCTCCTGCTCCAACCCGGGAAACCAAAGAGGCCCCCAAGTTAGCCTGGCGCCAAGGGAGCCATTGCAGGCCTGGCACACAGGCTGCTGCTCTTGGCATTTGGAAGCGAAGGTGGGGGGTGGGGGGGGGAGGTGTGACCACTTCCTCCAACTCTTTAGCGCACAACCAGAGCCAGAATGGCTCTACTGGGCAGAATTTGGTGCCAAAGACAAGCCCCCTGTGTTTCAGAGGAAGTTTCCAGGGCCTGGAGGGAGGGAATTTGCAAAGGTTTTACCTGAAGGACTGTCAGAGGGGAGGGGTTGTGGCCTGTAGCGGAAATATTTCCCCTCCTCTCTGCCGGCTTTAAAAGCATGGCTTTGTCCCTGAAGGCAGAGAGCAGCCTTGTGTTGTGGGCAGGAGGAGGGAGCAGCAAAACATGTTTAGCTTGGCCAAGAGGCACAGGCTGGCTTTGTGAGCTCTGCTGCAGGGAAAGAAGATCACCCTGTTCTCTGGGGAAGCAAAGCAGCCAGAAATTCCCACTGCTGGGGGAGTCACTCTGGGAAACCAGGAGGGCGAGCCCCATGCCCTTGTTTGGCCAGTGAAACCCTCACACATTCCAAACTGGAGGTGAGTGGCCCCTGCCAGCGTTAGGGTGTGACGCTTGGAAGGTGTTGGGACAAGCTTTGCCATCTTCCAGGCTCTCAAGCTAGTTTGCTTTCTGTTCCATCTCCCAGGAGAAAACAAAAGCAATGGAGCCAAATAGCAGCAAAGTGACGGAGAGGAAGGCTGGGCCAAAGACAAGAGGGCAGTGGCTATTTTAGAAGCAGTGCTATTAAGGCAGCTTGCAATGGCTCTCACTTCCAAGATAACTTAAAGTGGCCAGGGGGTGGAGAGAACCTGTGGGTCTCTAGCTGTTGCTAGACTACAACTCCCATCATCCCTGGCTATGGTGGATGGGAGTGAAGTATCCAAAATAGCTGAAAGGTCACAGGTTTCTTGCCTCTGTTGGACTAACACTTTTGAAAGCAGGGGGAGCACATGTCAGTAGATCAGTGGTCCAACTGACCTCCGCCCTGCTTGTAGCTTATAGGGCTGAAAAGCCTGTGCCCCTGTGGAGCCACAGCCAGGTGGAATAGATCATACAGGCCAGCAGAACTCTCATGAAAGGCAACTTCATCTTCTACTAGGGAGGGGCCATAGCTCAAAAGGTGAAGCACATTTGTGTGCAGAAGTTCCCATGCCTATTTTAAAGGCTCAGTAGGCAATGGGAAAGACCTGTTGCCAGGAACAGACCCTATTTGGTTAAATGGACAGAGCCTGGTCTGGTAGAGGGCAGCATCCCATTTCCCCCCTCTTAGACTGTGTATTGTTTGGGGCATTCTAAGCAGAACCAGCAGGTCACTCTGAGCTGAGGCAAATGGCTGCCCACCCTGTGCCATGATAATCCTATAAAGTCATTCAGATGAAAAATGACACCCAGCAAACTTCCAAACTTTTGCTTTTTTAGCACCAATCTATTTACCAGTAGTTAGTGCACATGTTACAGGGACGCGGGTGGCGCTGTGGGTTAAACCACAGAGCCTAGGACTTGCCGATCAGGTCGGCGGTTCGAATTCCCGTGATGTGGTGAGCTCCCGTTGTTCGGTCCCTGCTCCTGCCAACCTAGCAGTTCGAAAGCACGTCAAAGTCCAAGTAGATAAATAGGTACTGCTCCAGCAGGAAGGTAAACGGCGTTTCCGTGTGCTGCTCTGGTTCGCCAGAAGCGGCTTAGTCTTGCCGGCCACATGACCCGGAAGCTGTACACCGGCTCCCTCAGCCAATAAAGCGAGATGAGCGCTGCAACTCCAGAGTCGGCCACGACTGGACCTAATGGTCAGGGGTCCCTTTACCTTTACCTTAGTGCACATGTTAATTCCTTAGCCAAGCGAGCAAAGATGTTGGAGAGCATCCAGCACAGCACAGCTGTGAAACAAATCTGGTGACTTCCCTTGCAATTAGGAGCATCTCCTAATCCGTGCATGTTGCACACAGGTCTGGGGGTAGGTACCTCATCTCTCTTTCCCTAGCAAAACACAGAACTTCAGCTATTTCTCTACAATGTTCTTCACTCTACCAAAGGCAATAACAGTACTGAATCAACTAGCAGTGTTTCCCAACCTTTTTTGAGGAAAGGCACACTTGTTTGATGAAAAAAATCTTGAGGCACACCACCATTACAGCCCCGTGACGTCAGCGCGCAGCGTCACGCCGGGAGGGAAGGGCGCCGGGGCGCTGCTGCTGCTGCTGCCGCCGCCGCTCCCGGCAGGCATGGGCCCAGCTGAGGCGGCGGCGGCTGTTGTGGTGGTGGTGGCGATAGCGGGCGGAGGAGGGGGCGGCGGCGGGGCCGGCGGCGGCGGGTGGAGCAGGAGGGCGGCCGAGGCCGGTGAGGGAGTAGGGTTGCCCGGGGCTTGAGGAGCCGTCGCCGGGAGTTGCTGCTGCTGTTGTTGCTGCTGCTGCCCGGACATGCCGGCCTCCTCCTTGTCCGCTGTCTCGCGCTCCTCCCTTTTGCGCGCGCTGCCCCGCCGCCGCCCCATTGGCCGGGTCCTGTCAGCTGATCCTGTGTTATTTCCTGTGTGTGTGTGTGAGGGGAGAATGGAGAGAGAAACCTCGGCACCACCACTGCGGAGCCGCCCCCGGCTCGACGCGGATCCTCGCCGCCGCCGCCCCGCCTCTCGCCGCCCGACTCGCCCGCCTCCCTCCCACGGCACACCAGGCAACGTCTCACGGCACACTAGTGTGCCGCGGAACACCGGTTGGGAAACACTGAACTAATGAAACCAGATCTTTTGGACATGATCTAGTCTTGCAATAAGCAGCAGCCTACTGTCTTCTAGATAGTTCTATTCAACCATTGTCACCTTGATTCTCATTCCTTCCACCATCAGCTACTGTGTTCGTGTTGAATTTCTCATCTGACTAGCCAGGACTCCAAGGGGGTGGGGGGAATGTCCTTTTTCACACAAGCAGCTTTGGGCTGCTTGGCTGTCTGACCTCCTTCCTAGTTTGCAGAAAAGCCCTTCTGGATTCCATCAGCATCTTGCCAAAGCCACTTGGGAGAACTGCTGCCAATCCTTAACAGGCAGTTTCCTTTGTAATTAGAGGGGCTGCAGTGGGGGCTGAGTTTGAAGTCACCGTTGTCACAGGCTTGGCTGCTGTATCAGAGCTCTGCTCTTGCCGCTCTGGGAATTGGAGGGCGGCAGTTGTCATAATCTCCAATTTCACTGGTGGGCCAAAGAGCCTGTAAATTAGCAATTCTTGTCCCAGGAACAAACATCTTCCAGAGAGGTTTTGTCCTAAGCAAAGGGCCTACCCTGGGTATCTGACTTGCTGTAGAAAAGCAGATAAAAAATGACTTCACAGGGAAATGCAGAGGTTGTGTTTGTTTCCGCACAGGTTTGAATCCTAGTTTCAGGTCTCCCTACAGCAAATGGGCAGCCACTTGAAAAAGCAAAAGCAGAAACAGAATACAAGTTCTGCAAAAAAAGGTCTCTGTTTGGGCCTCAGACAGATGTGTGCAAAAGCAATGAGAGAGGAAGAAACAAAAATCAAGGATGCTGCACTGGAGAAAAGTGCAAATCTTTTCCCCTCGTCTCATAAAACAAGACTTCAGGCTCCGAAACTGATTGGCAGCTGACCTAAAACATGCAAAAGGAAGTACTTCACAGAATGCAGAAATAATTCACAGCATTCCAGCAAGGTGTACTGATCACAACAGCTAGGTATTTACATATATTTATGCATATTTATGTGTGTGCGCGTGCGTGCATGCTTGTGTACAAAACAAACATAACAAAAAAGAAATAAAACAGGAAAATGACAAAAACAAAAGTGGTATGCCTCTGAATACCAGTTGCTGGAAATTACAAGTCGGGAAAGTTACTGTTGTGCTCAGTTCCTGCTTGCAGGCTTCCCACTGGCATCTGACTGGCCACTGCGAGAACTGAATGCGGTGTCAGATGGGCCTTTGGTCTGATGCAGCACCCAGATTCTGCCCATGTTCCTTTCTTTCATCTCTCTACTCTCTTCCTAAGTAAAGATGTCTTCCTTAAACCACTATGTCTGGGAAGTGGAAAGCAAACGACCTGGTCAAGGCTAAGTATCTCCCCTTCATGCCACCTGTCTTGAAAGAGGCTATGGGTGAGGCAGGTTCCTAGTAAAGTAACCTCCTTTAGCCCCAAAATTTTGCCAGCTTGTTCTTGGACAAGGTGGGCATACGTGGTAGTGGTAAGCAATTAACAGTCACCTCAGAGCAAGCAATCTCTCTAACCCTCTCCTGTTGTGCAACGGTCAAGAACTTGCCTCTTTTGTGGATAATGTGCAATTTTTACTCTCTTATTGTTTGATGGTTTTACTGTTGATGACTTGTATGTTATTTAAACTTTTCCCTACTTTGGGGGTTGTATTGACGATGATTTCTAAAGCCAGCTGCATGAGTATTTGCTGCCACCTGGCGGCTGAAGCTCATTACTGCATGAGCTCTGGCAAAGATGTACCGGTACCTCAGGTTGTTGTCTTTGCTATACTTCAGAACAAATCCAGGCAAGAGCTGGCCTGTGGTCTACCTCTGATGTGTGCATCTGGGGGTGCATGCCCCCATAACAGACTTTCTTGGTTATGGGATTAAGCTTATGGTCTCACTGGCCAGACTGGATAGTCCAGTTTAGGGGGTGTGTCCGTGGGGCCTGCTTTTGAACATTGTGAGCAAACAAGACCAAGACTCTGTCTTTGTAGCTGGCTGAAGAGGCATTACGCCATGCCAGAGCTGACAGCTTTTGCTAAAGCAAAGACTAACCAGGCTGTCTGCCCTAGTGCCATTTCTTGCTTCAGGCTGTATACAGATCAAGGACAGGGCACCTTTTTCAGTCAAAGGGCCACATGGCAGTGGTAGGCAGGGGCAGAGGCAAAAGTAGGTGGAGAAATTAATATACATTTCCCCTTTATGTAACAGCTTTTATTTCTACACACATTCCTCTCTCTCATCCATCCAGGCAATTAGAAATATTAAGAATTCTGGGACACATTCCAGCCAGCCAAAAACACTCAAGGAAACTTCAAGCAGAGCTGGTGAGAATCTCATAGAATCAGAGTTGGAAGGGAGCCTAATGGTCATCTAGTCCAACCCCCTGCAGTACGGGAATCTCAACTAAAGCATGCATTACAGATGGCCATCCAACAATTGCTTAAAAATCTCCAGAAAGCACCTCAAGGGCCATGCAAAGTCCTGGGGGTGCATTTGGCCTCATGGCTTATGATCATCCCTGCCATAGATGGTCCAGTTAAACATATATTGCTCAGGTCATCTCATCTTCTATCTAGCTACCCACCTACAAACCAAAGCAGTTCTGGGTACCCCCCACAAGCCTCTACTAACAAAAAAACCTACAGCCAGCACCAGAGTTCAGTTTACAAGGTTTTAATATACAAATACAAAATCCTACTCTACTTCTTCTCTTTTTTCTCCTCTTTCTTGCCATCACTCTTCTCCTTATCTTTGTCTTTCTCATCCTTCCTCTCCTTTTTGCTCTCCTCTTTCTCCTGCCCCTCCTTCTTCTCTGCATCTCTATTGGCGATCTTGTTGTTTATGAGGTTGTGGAGGGCAACCACAGAGCGAATGAGTGAAGCCAAGTAGACCACCACCATCTGGTCATTGGTCTTCAGATAGAAGGCCTTGACAAACTCTTGCAAGTTGACGTCAGGCAGCAGGTTGAAGACATCCTGGAGCTGGTAGATGATCTGGTGGTTGATGGGAAGTTTGCCCATGGCCACTTTCTCCAGGTAGCTCCTGATGTCTAGAAGCTTGGAGTTCAGTCCCTTCAAGCCGTGGACCTGGTTTGTGATGCGCTGAGAAAGGGTGCCTACAGTGGTATCTTTAATATCCCTGGAACAGCCAAGAAAGGGGTCAGAACATGAGAACCCAGTTGGCAGGAAAGGAAGAATAGAATTATTTTTCTCTGCCACATTACGGAAATCAATGCTGGGCATTTCTATAGTTGGACTAGAAATCTGAATCTCCTCTGGACCAACCAACCCATACAAAGACATGGGGATGTAAGCGAATATCAATTGCATTGTGGGGAGGTGCAGGTTCTGCTTGTAGGCTTCCCCTTAGGATAAGACCAGATGCTAGATGGGCACCCTTTGGCCTAATCCAGCATAGGAAATATGGTGGCACATTTGCATGGCTAAGGGATAGGGTACCACTAGATCCCAATGAAGGGTGGCTGTCAGGATAAATTAAAGATGATGCCTCTATTAAGCTGGCAGGCTGTGTGGCCTTGCAGGGGTCAAAGGCATTCTGCATCCATTATTTTATATCTGCAAGATGGGAATGCCTGCCTCCCTGTATTATCTTGAGGAGTAACTATGTAAGCAGAACACAAGCTAAGAAGTCTGAAGTGACAGGCAAGAAAGGTATTTTTTTACCGTAGCAGGTGCTCCACCCCAACTTCCTCCGCTTCTTCTGCTCCAATTTCACTGGTCACATGTTCAAAGGTCTTAGAGGTGGGTGTCCCATCCTTTGGGGTGCAAGAGCAAGCAGAGACCAGGCATGAAAGTCATCACCTTTATTCAACTTCTGGGCAGAATGTGTGTGTGTGTGTGTGTGTGTGTCTGAACCCTGGAAAAACTTACAATTGTTGCATAAGAAGCCAAGAGTTGCTGAAGAATAAGAACAGAGCCATAACTGGCCAATGGAAGAGACACACTAACCCTAAATTACCTTCATAAGGAAGTGTGAACTGAATTAATAATAAACACTGACAAGTTCTTTCATCCTAAGCAGAGTTTTTTTCAGGTACTCTGTAGGGTGCTGGCTGCAAAAGGAGTGACATGAGCAAGGTAGAGGCAGCATTCCTGTTATTGGCTCGGCCTGTTTTAGTCTGGTCCTTTGGTTGACACTGAAATGTATGAAGAAAAAGCAACTTGATGTGCATAAACCCAGGATACTCACATCGTGAACTTCTTCCACAGAGATGTAGGCTTCAGTGGGCAGCCCCAGGTCCTTTGGCTTTACATCGATAATTACCAATACCTGTTTGAAAGAAACCCTTTAGTGCCTATTGGTGGAAAACAAAACCTACCAGTCTCTTTCCAGTAACCTGCAGCCTGCCACTGCATAAAGGATCATCTTGCCATTTCCAACTTGTTCTTACAAGTTGCAGTAACATCAAATAGCAAGCCTTGTCAGGATTTGTAGGTTGTGAGTGGCTCTTACCGAGTTTGAGCAGTATCTTTTCATTAACTCATTGATAGCAATGTCATTCTTGTGCAGCTTGGGACCTGTGTGGTACCATCCCACAATTCTTTCCCTGGCTAGGAAAAAGACACAGAAAGAAAAAGAGAGTCAGAGTACACGAAGCAGCTGGAAGAGGGCTCTACCTCCAAGAGCCATTTCCTTCTTCTACTGTTTCACTGGAAGTGGGGCTTTGCAGGAATAAAGCATGGTTCTAGATGCAATGATATTGTATAGCAAACGGGATGAGACTTTAGAATTTCTCACAACCTGAGCCTATCATTCATACTGGACATTGCTTACATCCAAAGTTTACTGGACTTGAACATCAGCTTCAAAATAAATTTTACAGGTACAGAATACTACACTTTGAACGTTGGCAAAATAGATGAGATATGCCCAACCTTGAGGACTTTGCCAAACGAATGAACAACAAAAAGCCTATTTACTGCATACACAAGCTATAAAAGACCCTTCCTTCAAGTAGCATGTAGTCTAAAATATGGTTTCTTTGCTGGGGCACTAGGTTAAAACATGAGAGGTTTTGCAGAATCTGATGTTGAAGGGTGACCCAGTTCCTTCATTTTCACACTAACAGAGGTGTTCATCTCCAAAATGAAAAACTTTTAAACTAAGCATCTGTGAGCAGTCATAGCAAAGTTATTTAAGTAACATCACTTTTTGGCTTTTCCCAGAGATAGATTTAGCTGTGACTTGCACTTCTGGCTAACCAAGCATTGCTTACCATTTACTTTCTTGAACATCCCATACATGTTCTCCAGATAGTCATGGTCCAAAAACCACACAGAGTCGTCTTTATCATCTTCATCAAAGGGGACTGTGGGTAAAAAAAGAGAATCCAAACCATGGCATGAATTTCCAGCCTTTAAAAAAACCCCAATGGAAATGGTTTATTGAATATTTACAAATAACCTGTAAACAGTAAGAACATTGGCGGGATTATTGTAATAACCTGCAGTTTTACAAGAGTATATATTTAAAGTAGATGAATAAATTAGTAAATAAAGTTAATTTGGAATATGCAGAAAATATAAAAAATAAATTTAAGGAACCACAAAGAGGGGGAAGGAAGTCAAGTTTTGAAATGTTAAAATGATTGTAAAATTACTGAAATGAATAAAACTGAAAATCATAAATAAATTTTAAAAAGGAAAGTGACAATTTTGCCAAGTTACATCCCATGTGGTGGGAATTAAGAGCAGCCCTGCTGGATCAGGTCAAGGAGGGTCCAGGTAGTCCAGCACTTTGTTCTCACAGATGCCTCTGGGAAGCTGGCAAGTCACTTAGAATGGGATCCAGTCTTGACATTACAGAGGTGAGGATGATTTAAATTTCTATTCCACCCTCCATGAGAGGCTCACAGGGCGTTTGAAAATAGCAAGTTATCATGCACTGAGTAAGACTACTGGACTATCCAATCCCAGTACTGGTCTCCTGAGTGGTCTCCCAGCGTCTTAGAAAGGGAGTTTTTTATCAGCTGCCACTTGGTCCTTTTTAAATGGAAATGCCAGGGACTGCACATTCTGTGAGCAAAGCATGCATTCAACGACTGACCTACAAAAGTTCCCCAAGGAACAGAAGATACCATTATTATTTATTGTATTCATATTCTGCCCTTCCTCCCAAAGGAGTCCAGGGAGACAAACAACATGTGGTAAACAATAAAAGCATCTTTTTAACTACAGTGATGAAGTCAATCTCTTTACCTAGGGTCTCAAAACGGGAGTCTTTCAGCCCCACCTAGAAATACCACTGGGGATTGAATCTGGTATCTTCTGCAAGCAAAGCAGATACCCTACCACTGATTTAGGACCTATTCCTACCACAGTATTGACTGTAGTATGTGGTACATGTAGTTGCAGCCCACAAGATTAATGACTAGACGAGATCACAAGTTTCTAGAACTGGGCAGACTCAGATTTAAACTAAAGGTAGATGAAAGAATGATGATTCCCTGGAGCAGACTATGGAAAGCTAAGGCTGGCTTCCGACAGCTTGAGAACTCGAGGGACCGCATTTAAGCTTTTAGCCAAACACAATCCAGCAGGTTCCTAACTGGGCCCCTTTGGGTTATTATTTAATCAGAGGGCTGTTGAAAACTCAGGACTATCAACCAAGTTTCAATTGAGATTTATGACTAAGCTTTTCTGGGTCTCTCACTTTAAGACAAAAGGTGGGGAACCTCTGACCCTCCAAATGCTGCTGATGGAACTTGGAGTCCAACAACATATAGAGGGCCACAGGTTCCCCACCAACAATTTAAGGGACAAACCCAAATTTCCCCAAATCCATTAATGGGGTGGAAAATGTTAGAGTAGGAGTGTACATTACAACCACATCTGGCTTGCTAGACAACCATAGAGATCTCAGGCGTCACTTTACCTGCAAAGCTGTTGGAGACATCCAAAATCTTCTTCTGCCACGAACCCAAGAGAACCCCCACAACTCGCTTCTGATTTCCAACTTTTCCTATCCTAAAATAGAAAGGCAAAATCAAAAGAAAGATGAGATACACTGATGTGCAGCATAAACTATTCCTGAACTGAATTTTTATCAACTCAACTCAGGGCAATGAAAACCAGCATAACTAAGGTGGGAGGGAAAGGGTATATAGCAACTTGCCAAGACTCCCAACAGAAGGAGTCTTGATAGTCACTAGGGAGGAGGCAGCTGAGTGTTGATGGCTTGTCTTCTTCTGATGGTTAATGGAGGAAGTCAAGGTACAAAAAGCTGACTTAGCCCACCAATCCACCTAGCCCCAAAGTGTCAGCACTGCCTGGCCTGGCAGTGACTCTCCAAGGTCTATGTCAGAGCATGGCCTTTCCCACCACCTGCTTCTGAAATCCATTTAGCAGGTGTGGTTTCTGGGGCAGAGATGTTGTTGAACTGAACCTGCTGCTTGTAAAGCAAATGCTCTGCCACATACCTACTCAGTCAAGTTGGCACAGCCATGCGCTGGTTGCATGTATTTCATGCATGCAGCTGTGGCTGCTACTTAGGAAGCAGGTATATTTTAAGTCATATCAGTTTACTTATATTCCGCTTTTCCACTCAAGAGTCTGGAAAAGCAGTGGCAAAAGATGAATCTCATCCTTGCTCCACACGCGGTAAACACACCGCGATAAACATAAAAAGCAAGTCGGCGAAAAGTAGCATCCAGCCCCCCTCCATGAGGTCTCTGGCCCAAAGGCCCGTTTGTTGGGGTGTAGAGGGAGACAGCAGCCGCTTGGCCTGCAGAAGGAAAGAGGTTCCGGGTTCAACCCCCGAAAGCTGCTCCGAGGAGGATCGGGGAGCCAGGCAGATAAGACAGGCCTCACCCCTGGGCTCGAAGGCCTCACTCCGCGAGAAAGGCAGCCGCTTCCTTTATTGCTCCGAGGCCTCGCCAAACCCTGAGGGTCTTCCCAACCGAAACCCGGGGTCCAGAAGCACAGGCGGCGAAGGCGGCCTCAGCCCGGGCCCGTGACTAAGCTGTCCTTCCGCGGCCTCCGCCCCGGCGCTTCTTTACAGTAGCTTCCTCGCAGCTCGCTGCCCCTGAGCATGTGCAAAGCGCGACCCCAGCCCTACGGCCACCCTGCCTCCCTAAACCCTGGCCTGCCGGCCATGACTCAGCCCGGCCGGCCGGCCGCCGCCTCCCTCACCGGTTAAAGTGATCGACCACGCTCAGCAGCACCAATGGGTGGACCACCACTCGCTCCACGGCCAGCTCCGGCATAGCAGCGGCGGCTTCGCGGCCTCCACGTCCTGGCCTAGTTCCTGGCCTCCTTCTCCCGGTAAGCAAAGCGCCTCTCAGTGACTCAGGGCACCGGGTGTGAAGCAAGCGATGCTGAGGGAGGAGCTGGGCAGCCGCGCCATCTTGGGAAGGGCAGCCGCAGTGACGTCACGCGACTTCCTTTCAGCCTGTGGGCGGGGGAAAGCGACGCCATTTTGGGAGGGTCTCAAAGGGTTCTCAGTTCGGCTTCCTGTGAGAAGTTTCCATGTTGGAGGCGTGGGGCGGTAGCGTCGCCATATTCAGAAGGGCAAAAGGAGGGATGCCATTATGCGACGGTCAGTCGCCTCCAGAACATTCTTGAGGGAAGCCGTTGATGAATGATTTAAGCGTCCTTTTTGTGCTTTTCGTTCACAACCTAAGTCTGGAGGTGGCTTTAGCATCCACCAGAGATACTTTTTCTACGTGTTTTAGGAAATTTGAGGAGGGAAAAAACCCGAGATTTGGTTTCAGGGAAGACACTGTATCGCTGCTAACACGTGCAAGACACATTTTGTTGTTGTTATTTAGTCATTTCCGACTCTTTGTGACCCCATGGACCAGAGCACGCCAGGCACTCCTGTCTTCCACTGCCTCCCGCAGTTTGGTCAAACTCATGTTTGTAGCTTTGAGAACAGTGTCCAACCATCTTGTCCTCTGTCGTCCCCTTCTCCTTGTGCCCTCAATCTTTCCCAACATCAGGGTCTTTTCCAGGGAGTCTTCTCTTCTCATGAGGTGGCCAAAGTACTGGAGCCTCAGCTTCAGGATCTGTCCTTCCAGTGAACACTCAGGGCTGATTTCCTTCAGAATGGATAGGTTTGTTCTTCTTGCAGTCCATGGGACTCTCAAGAGTCTTCTCCAGCACCATAATTCAAAAGCATCAATTCTTCGGCGATCAGCCTTCTTTATGGTCCAGCTCTCACTTCCATACATCACTATTGAGAAAACCATAGCTTTAACTATATGGTTTTCTCTAGTTTTAACTATGTCGGTAAGGTGATGTCTTTGCTTTTTAAGATGCTGTCTAGGTTTGTCATTGCTTTTCTCCCAAGAAGCAGGCGTCTTTTAATTTTGTGACTACTGTCACCATCCGCAGTGATTATGGAGCCCAAGAAAGTAAAATCTCTCACTGCCTCCATTTCTTCCCCTTCTATTTGCCAGGAGGTGATGGGCCCAGTGGCCATGATCTTAGGTTTTTTGATGTTGAGCTTCAGACCATATTTTGCACTCTCCTCTTTCACCCTCCTTAAAAGATTCTTTAATTCTTCCTCACTTTCTGCCATCAAGGTTGTGTCATCTGCATATCTGAGGTTGCTGATATTTCTTCCGGCAATCACATGCTCCAAATGGAGGGCTTCCTTGGTTATTTTAAATTACGCACACACATGCACACAAATACACATTTTCCACAATTGAAGGAAACATTTATAACATTAAAGATTTCTCTCTGTCCAGTGCTGCATTCACTCTGGAGTCATATGTTGGGGAAGCCACATGTTTATTTCCAGAGAGAGAAACCTAGGCAGCACAAAGCAATTTAAAACAAGAGCTTAAACAGCAACCAGCAACAACTTTGTTATATGTACAATAGTCATCCACTCCAGCTCCAAAGTATTAAGGGAATGGCTGTGGCTCAGTGGCAGAGCCTCTGCTTTGCATGCAGACGGAGTCCTACCTAAGGCTCAATCCACAGCAGCATCTGCAGGTACTACAGGGAGAGAAACTCTGAAACTTTGGAGAGCTGATGCTGCCAGTCAGCATAGTTAATTCTGGGCTGGATAGACCAAGACTGTATGGGGTCGTTTCTTATGCTCCTACTGTTAAGAGGGAATTGAGTGGTGGGCTTTGTCTCAGCCCACTTCTTCCAGAGCTATTATTAATATGGGCCACCTTGAGACCATGGCAGTAGAGCACAACACTTTGGTTTGAGGCAAATCACTCCAAACAGCAGAGTAGTTTAGAAGCACATAAAATAATCCACTGTGTCCTCTGGCAACCCTGAGTTGGCAGCTGCAATTCATTCAGGTTCTTATACTTATTTAAACCACTCCTGAAGAACTTTGTTTACAAGGTGCTGTGCAAATAGCATACAGATTAACCAATACTGAGACTGAGGTGGCAACTTGCCCAAGGTCATCCAGAGGTGAGAATTATTCTCCAGGTCCAAGACCAGCTCTCTATTGGCCCACACTGGCTGCTGTCTCTTGTCTTTGTTTGGAATTTCTCACTGTTGCTGAGGAAAGTAGATGTTATAGAACCAGTTAATTGGTCATAATTTTTGCAGAAAATACCAGCTTGTTTTCTGGCTCAGTGATTCAGAATGTGTGTTAATTAATCCCTTGTAAGGCATGATCTTGATTTATAGGGATGGCTTCAGATAAGAGAAGATACCCAGATACATTCATTTGGTTCATTCACAAATATATTACAGGTCTCTGTTGCTGTTCTTTTGAAGCTCCCCTCACCCCCACCTTGAATGGCACCTCATAAGAAAGATTAGCTTTTATGCTTTATCCTCCTTGAAGACTCTTGAGTGACATCTCCCACTGCAAAAGCCCACAGAGAAGTGACTAACTTCTTTCAATGTGTTCTGAATTCAACCTCCTTCTGATGAAGGAGAAAACACATGCCAGTCCCAAGTAGTCTCTCCAGAAAGCACTCTATTGCCTCTACCTTCTCTTTGATAATGAGAAAGATCTCAGGTGCCTCTTCTGATCTCACCTGCTGCATTGTGGCATGGGAAGAGAAGTGGCTTCTTAAGTAAGGAGATCCAAGGCTTTTTAGAAATTGCAGGTAAAACTCAGTACTCTCAGCATTTGTACCTGGGGACCTGGAGGACACCAGCGTAGATCACAGGACGCAAATAGGAGCAAGAGCCTTGAGCTGAGATGTGCTTTTAATTAAAAGTGTGCTGCAGATGTTGGCAGCTGCTTTGGCTTATTAATGGGAAAGGGTGGTACCTCAATGGATAGAGCATCTGCTTTGCAGGTAGATGGTCTTTAGTTCAGTCCCTGGCATCTCCAGGTGGGAGAAGGAATGTCCCCTGTCTGAAACCTTGGAAAGATGTTACCACTCAGTGCCACTCAGTTACCACTCAGTACCACTGTACTGAGTTAGAAGATGGGCTTCTGTTATAAGGCATCTTCCTATGTTCCTATGTAATGTGCAGATGTAGTTGAAAGAAGAAACTATCACGGTCTTGAAGTGATGGGCACATGAGTGGCTGTTCTCAAAAGAAGAGGAAATGGGTGACTGCTTGCAGAAATCCCGGCACCTCAGATGCTTTTAAAAAAGTTTCTTAAAGCAGCATTGCAAGATTTCATACAGATTTATCTGCAATGAAGAAAGTCCTTTGGCCAGTAGTTCAGCCCTGACAAGGCACTGCAACAGGAATTCGCAATATGAGGTCTTATATGGATCAATTTTAGTCTCTTAAGGGAAGGAGTTGACCTTTTATGATTTGGATTTCTGGTCAGAGATTATTCCTCATAAGAGACAGAAAAAACTTGCTACCTGATGGGACCTGAGGTTATCACTACAGGGTCCTTGCTCAAGCGCTGTTGGACAGAGGGAGGTTGAAGAAAATTCCCAGAGCACTTAATTTATTTTCTTTCTTTTTTCAGCTTCCAGTATTTTTTACAGAGTGAAGTTCAACCATGTATTTTTTTCTGATCCTCACTGCCATTGGGTAAAATACGTTTTCTTTGGTGTTTCAGAGACACCTGGGTGATTCTGGAGTGTGGCTAGCTTGTCAGCTCCACCACTCCTGTTGCTGTATGGCTGACAGAGGGGATGGGAGCTCAGGCAACCAGTAATTGACCTTCTATGCTACAGCTGGAACATCAGGGTTCAAAGTAATGAAGGATTCCTCAGGGTTGCTGGCAGTGCTGGTGTTCTGGTGTGTGTGTGTGTGTGGTGTGTGTGGTGTGTGTGTGTTGCGTTCCTGCTTCCCCTGTTCCTCCACCTCTAAGGAGACTCTGGTTCATAGTCTGGGTGTAGCTGGACCCTGACAAATACCTGGCTTTTCTGGTTAAAAAACCCCCATAGCAGTAGATGGGTCAGGCCTCTGCCAAGTCCCTGGAGAGCCACTATAAGTCAGAGAAGAAAATATTGGGCTAGATAGTCCAGTGGATTGACCTGGGATACGGCAACTTCCCATGATATTCTTAATTTGCTTAGTTTGCCTGCTTGGATGGAAGTGAAGGAAAAGGCCGCAGGAGGGAGCATAATGTCTGAATAGGACCTTGCCACAGTTGTGCCTACGGAACACTTCTCAAGAGGGGCCTACCTGGAGCCTGCTTTGATCTCATTTCAGCACCAGGCTAAAACCTATTCCCCCCCCCCTGTAATTTCAGTGTGAATTTAGACTGGTTTGCCATTGCTGTTTTATTTTTGTAAGTTTCATTTGCCAAATGGATTTTACTATTCTAACATTGCTTTTATGATGCTGTGTAAGCCGCCCTTGGACACTTTTTGCAGGACAGGATACAAACCCAGGAAAGATCCACAAGCATAATATTATATTTCTGCTAGTGACAGCTCCTGAACCTTTCTCTTTAAAAGTTTGAATGGCTTTAATTTTGTTTACTGTGTGTTTTTGCAATATTGATTCCAAAAGGGCTCTCATGGAAGAAGACGTTATGATGCAAAGCACTTCTGTTGTTTATTTACTTTATCTTATTCTATATCATTTGTTACATTTATCAGTCACCGAATTGCAATGAGCCTCTAGGTGATGTATAACCCTGATACAATGAGTTAAAAAAAGCACACAATAATCCAAGCAATACATTGTGATATACAAGCCTAGCAACTAAATAAGTAAGCATTAACACTGGCACAATTCAATAAAAACTAAAAGACCCCCACACGCTAAAACTGAATGATCGCTGTCAAGTGAGCAGAGACTAAAATCAGATGATGTTAAGGCAGCGTTAAAATGCAAAAAGGTCCGACTTCGATCCCTGGCAGCATCTCCAGGTACCTGGTGATGGGAAAAGCCTCTCTCTGCCCAAGACCCTGGGGAGCTGCTGCCAGTCAGAGAAGTCAATACTGGGCTAGACGGGTGAATGGTCTGACCTAGAAGAACGCAGCTTCCTCTGTTCATAAGCTGGAAGAGCCCCCTAAATA